TATCAGTGAGTTAATCCTGTGTAAAATCCATAATATTATTTAAAGAATATACAGGATTTATCAATACAAACAACATTTAAGGTTTGCTGTTGAAGTTGACATAGAAATGGAACATGTGTGCTGATAAATTGGCCTTATATATCGTTTTAGGGCTGCAAATAATGATAATTGTAATTGTTAATTCAATTCTAGATAATTTTCTTGCAAAAATAATTGCAGTTAACAGTGAATAGTTGGGATCAGTATTTCCCAGGGCTACATAGGACATTCTCAAATGCCTTTTTTTTAAATCCCCTATCCCCTAACCGTCACTGGGCTGTAAAGAAACCAGATATTAGAAGCTAATTTTAGAGACTTTTCTCTCCTTCTCTAAAGAATGACATAAACCTAGTAATCAACTGTCAAATAAGATGTTGGTTAATCACTTTTTACTTATTTTGACTTTTCTGTCACATAGATCTTTTGACATACTGAGCTCTAAAATAATATATTTTTAAATGCAGTATTTGTTCTAAATTAAAGAAGCCCTGTAAGGGATGTTTGAGCATGAATGTTTCAGTTGTTGCTTTTTTAAGAAGGTAACTGCTGAAGGTACCAGACATGTTTTGGGGCTTTTTCTGTAAGTCTTGTGGTGTTCTTCTAAGAAGTGAATTACCTTTGATGAAAATGGAGTAAATGATGAATCCTATAAACTGCCAGACTGTTGACTTTTCAATACCAAATTAAGTTACAGTTGGTGCTCAATCAACTTAGCATTATTGTATTTTTTTTATCACTCTGCTGTCAGGAGATGTGTTAAAAAAAAAAAAGGGACGAGAAATAGAACTAGCATGATTACTCGTGGTTAATGTGATTGGTCTTTCGAAACATCCCTGTTAAAACTCTGTTGATATGTGGTAGGAAGTAATAAATGAAAACAAATACTCCAGGTACTGTGTTCACGGCATTTGTTGAAATCATCAATCAAATCAAAAAGAAAACACATTTAAGAGTTGAAGTGTCTTTAGTATAAAACACTAAACTTTGTCCATTCTTACATTAAGTGGATCATTTGATATCAGTTGACCCTTGGCAAATGTTTCACGTTATAAAGAAAAGTGCATAATATTGCAATTTTAAACTTCTACTTTATTTGTCTAAATTTTTGCAGATCATTATGGAGAAGCCTCAAACTTTCAAAATATGACATCTAGGTTTCATTGTCACGAAATCTATTTTCCTAAAAGCGAGGGCGGTCTTGATCTTTTAGAAAACAAATGAAGCAGACCGAGCGTGAAGCGTGGGTCTCCTGCTCATCCCACCACTGTAAAGAAAGACGAGGCAGCCTTGAGCTGCGTTGGCGTATGCAGGGGGTCCTTCTTTAAACAATATGGTCCAGCTCTGAGCCTCAGCGCTGTTATCTCTACCAAAACAATGGCATGCCCCCCCACAATTGGCCGCAAATTTCAAGTGCCCTTTTTGATGCCATTGTTGTGACAAAACCACTCTGGGCTGATTTTCACCAGCTTTCTCTCAGCTGTCTCATGCTGCACTGAGCAAGGGTCCTGTCACACAATTCAAAGGGCAAACAATGGTGGTGGTCCGTATGAGCTGTCACATTAAATCGGACCTTGTTTTGATAACTTTATTCCCATTTCTGATTGCTAAATACAATTCTTTTGTTTGTATTTCTTTAATCCGGGTGAAGAATTAACAATGATCTAAGTGGCCTAATTGCATTCTGAATATGCTGAGTCATTTACATGCACAGTGTGTCACATGTGTTATGGCACATTTATGTGTCCTGAATTTTGTCCCCCCGAGCGCTCAAGTTGAAAATCTTCAAACTTTTCAGAAAGGCGCTGTTGACATCACGGGCGCTGATATTCCCTGTATCCTCTTTGCTCTGTGTCTCTATCGGGTAAAAAAAAACAACAATCTCTAATATAAAATATGCAGTAAAAAGTAAAGGAGCCGTGTCGGTTAAACAGCGGCTATTGTCAACAAACTGTTGCCATAGAGACAGGACAGACGTGCAGTGCTTTTCTTCTCGGAGCACAAACGCTTCATGCAGACGCTCTAGAGCGTTTTCTGCCCGGACAAAACACTAGGTGGACACGCGGGCTTAAGCCTCAATTCTGGACCTTGATTTTAATTCGGTTCCATCTGATTTTTAGTCTTGATCCATTTATATGTTCCTTCATTTGGCAGCAACACAGTGCACAATTAGAAAAAAGTAGGCCTACATGATAGCTACAGCTAGAAAAACAATTTCAGTGTTTGACAGCTCAGCATAAAAAATGATGTGTAACTGTTGCTAAATGTTGCTCCAGTTTATGCATGATAGGTAGTGTCAGCTCTGCTCTCATTAGGAAGGACACGTTCTTTGTTCACTGAAGGTCGCTGTCAGAGTGTATATCATTAATTGAACCTACTGGCTGCTATTTATTTGGGTTTTTTTTTGCCACTCCATTACAGTGTTATAACTCTGGACAATGGAGCATCTTTGACAGCTGGCAGTGGCTGACGGTAAACAGTGGACACAGCCAATACCAATCCATTCAAAACTGCCCTCGGCTTCGGTTCCAATCCAACGGATCAGCTCAGGACACCTCTCTGTCCTTGATGCAACGACATCAGCGTTATTGATAGTTCCTGACAATCGCTGCCCCTTTTCGTTTCTCAGTACACATAGGTCCAATTAAATGTTTGTTCTTCTGAGGAATGGAAAAACGGTTGATTTATCCAAAGTTACTGCTGTGCTTCCACAGCAGCACCTTTAGTCACGCTAAGGGAAAATTCTCAGGTGTGCACCACATTTGGACTGTCTCTTCTTATGTTAAAAGCAAAACCACACGTCTTTGATAACAAAATCTTCAAACACCACTAAGCTAACCATAAGCACCCTGATGACCACAACTGAGAGGGATAGTTAAAAGGAAGAAAAGGGGCCTTAATGATGGCCCTTTGTCAGTGTCAGCAGGGAGGGGGACCTTCAAAGTGTGTCTTGCGGGGTCAGGGAATTCTTGCCTTCGGGGCAGGGAAGCAGGTGAGTCCCCCTCCTCTGCAGGACATTGTTTCTGTAATCCTTGAGGGGCAGCAAGGGACAAGAAATGGTTAGCTTCTGAAAACCAAGATGGGTCTTGATTTTGCTGCACTTCTGCCCTTTGTTTATACATATTTGTCGTCTTTGTATTATTTTTCCTAGTAAGCTAGTAAAATAACTTTTTTGTCCAGTATCTTTATTAATAATGTCTCTTTCCTGTCGTTCTTCAAATACCATCACAGATGGCCAGGGCTTATGTCTCAGTAGTGGATTATGTAGATCTTCTGCTATGTTTTCCCACCAGCCAATAGAATTAGAGTGTGTGTGTTTGAATACAAGAGGACTTGAATGGGTAACGCACACTTTAGTCTCTCATTTTCACACCCTCTGTATTTCCTTTGAACGTTCCAATAAAATCAGTCTCTCATCTCACCCTGCTGCCTGATGTGGTGGCCTTGATGAAAACCAGATGACTTATCTGTTTCCAGCCAGTCTCCCAGCTTCTTCCACAATACTGACTTAGACATGAACTCATCTATTGTCTGCTGCCAACTTTCAGAGCATCCACTGATACATGTGTGTCAATATTTCTTTTCAGGTTTGTCTTTTCCCAAAGAGCTTTATTGCTTGTAACACACCCGGTTATGCGGAATTGAAGGATCTGTGGGAATGCCGTAGATTTTTTGTTGTTGTTCAGAAACCATTAACATCAGCTGAAATGGTTTTGGTGCTATCTGCTAAGGTTGGATCGATATTGGTCTTTCTGGACCGATAACATATTTGGAACGGATATACATTTACATCTTTGGTCTAAAAATATGACATAAAATCTGTAGTTTCTTTAAAGATTCTGTACTTTCCTACACAATATTGATCATAAAAATAACAGAAATGGTATTGTTTTAATACATGCATCATACATCTTGACAACCTTACCTTTCCCTGCTCTGACTGGCTGTAGAGGAAAGTCATGCCTTTCATAGAATAGCCGAATGTGTTGTGGATGTAAAATGAGAGGAGGAATTTAATCTGAATGCATTTTGAACATTCTTTTCCTCCTCACATATCTTCATCTGAAGCCTCAGTTGTATCTGACAGAATTGCAAGATCTCCCGCAATGCTTTATTGCTGCTCTGTAGGGATCATACTATCTGTAAATTGCTGCATTCAGAGAATTATTTCTGAGTAACAGCTACCATATGTGCCTCTTTATTGTCCTCTTAAATGTCACATATTCATTCTTACTTATGATGAGCATCGTTGTAATGTTATGCAGTTTACAAATTGCGTCATATAAAAACCAGGGCACAAAGATGTTAAGGAAAACACTAGCTGTTGCACTGATAAAATCTGTGGCTTTCATGTCAACTGTTTTTTTCCCCTCCTTCAGTACAAGGTTTACTTTGCGCGGCCTCACTTGTTACCACAAAAGCCCTAAAAAGCATGCCATCTTTTCTGTATTTTTCATCGTCACCTGTCTGGGAATGTTATAACCGTGACTGAGACAGTACAACCTCAGGCCGCTTCCGGTGTACATGGTGTCACACTCTGCCTCGGGGAAGAAGCACAGAAAGTTTCGTCACTGCAGTTTTGTGCTGCAACAACCTAGTTAGTCACTGTCTCTCAGCCGCAGCGATCTTTTAGAAACAGAATATTCACCCAATTGTTTGGTCTGGAGGAAATGGATAAGACAACAAGATGACATCAAAGATTCAAAAGTTGAAAATGACAAATGTTCAAGACATATGTACAGCAAAGAGAAAAGGAATGCCAGGAATTTAATATGACACTAGTCTACCTGTGACTCAGAATGTCCTGTAATGGCAGTAACTCTGACTAATAGATGAACAATTGTGATTGCAAACTGTGCATGGTAGCAGGATTTCTGCTCAAATGAAGCTTTTGTTTGTCTTGAAGATACCTACATGACTAAACGTGACTGAACTATGTTGTTCCTTTTCTTTCTGTTCTTCAGAGAATCTAGAAGGTCTTCAGGCGGTGGTGCAGGAACGGTTGACAGAGTTACTCCGCATCCTCAAGACTGTCATCGGCAAACACCCGACGCTCAACTCTGTGGACATCCTCGGAGCGGCTGGAACGGTCATAGCCAAAGTCAAAGGTCAGTAGTTGCTCACCAGCATGCATGAATGCTCACAGATGTACAGGTAGACACACACAGGCGCCCTGATGATGCTTGCAATATCTTGGCATGAAATCTTATTGTTGCATTACTGTGTCAGGCTAAGGGTCTACGTCAGTCTTTCAAACTAGTGTGGGAAATGCCCTGCGGGGAGATTTCATAGCTCTCTGCTTGGTTAGCATTGGCGCAGAGATTTGTTTCTAAAAGATCACAGTATGAGAAGTTATTATTCCTTCAGCAACTGATCCATTTCTCTTTTCATTATGAATACAAACAAAAGGAATCTCAACTCAGGAGTTCCATCTGTTAGAAATGTGATCCACTGCAATGGTATTTCTTCACTTGACTTGCACACAAGAATCTGCACCGTGGAGACTACATGGCTGTAATTTGCATTCCATATTTCAGCCACCGCAGAGGCCTCTTTGGCAGACTGCCTGTCAATCAGGCACATCCAAGTTTCTTCCTTCTGTTCTCCATGTTGTGTCGCTCTGTTTGTCTGACAGCTCACCTGCCTTATCTCCAAATCTGAGTTGTGATCTACTCCTGAAGAATGTGTGTCTGTGTCTCTCAGCTGTTGAGTGGGGCTCTGAAAATGTTTAGAATGCAAAAACGGAACAAAAGAGATCCAGTGTTAGATCTGAAAAAAAAGAATGACTGGAATTGCTGAGACTCAAATGACCAGACACATTGCACATTACTTGATGGGATGGAAAAAAGACACCATGACTAATAACTGAAGGTTTCTTTGTTGGTACACATTTACAAAGCAGGCTTAATTCAGTTCATTGCAACACTTCTATATCAGCCTTCATCAGGCTTTTCATTGACACCTTTCTTCACCATATTAGTGTGTGACCTACTCATATAACTCAGTTTGAGCAGAAACATTACATTTCTGTGTCACATTCAGGAATAAAAGTCATTGCACACTGAATCCGTTTTTTAGTATGAAATTGATGCACGTTAAAAAATAAGTATGATCTCATTTTATGTCAATCATGTTTGCACACCGACTTCCGTTATTATTTTGTTGGAACAGGTTTGATTTTCTGTGTTTTCTCGCAATCATCCCTGCGTGTGTGTGTGTAGTAACCCTACCTCAAGCAGCCAGCCGCTGCTCAGGATCAGTTGCTTTGCAGAAATTGGTGGTGTTCTTTTTAAGGTGTGGTTCCAGTATAGAAAGAAGCGTATCAAACTGGACCACTGACATCCTGAAATACACCTGGAAGTGTCAGGATAATTCCGAAACGCCTTATCAGCAGGAAAAAACTCTCCTTTATTGACAGCGTAAACTCCCCTCACTCTTGTCTTGTTTTCAAAAATGGACAGACAATGTATTTTTAAGTTTAGTGAAAGAACCACTAAATCAACTTCACTGTTGATCACTGGGCATGCTGAGTATGAGGCATTTTGTGTCATATTGTGAATTTTTGCAATTAATGGAAAATAAAGGCAGCGGAGTCAGTGTGTCAAGATATCTGTGCGTGACATTTTTTTGTACGATCACAGATCTGAAAAACGCATCCGGAAAAAAACGAGAATCACATGGACCAGTGTATGCCTGAATTTAAACACAAATGTATTTTACTGTAAGCTTAAATTGCACTTAAATAACATTAACTCCCTGATGCATTGGAATGGCACTGTAGCCATTGATTCTATTTTACAAGAAAAGTCCTGCCATTCAGCCCTGCTGCCAATACACTTGTAACATGCCTGTTGACGAGTGGAAACTTGGAAATGTGCCTGTCCACAAGGGGGTGCCTACATCACCGCACACCATGGCTGGTCTGTCCCAAAAGGCCAGTAGGAAACACAATACAGACACAGTGAGGGAGCAAGAGGAGGACAGCACAGCAGAGGCTGAAAGAGGAGTGATACAGGGAGACGTCAGAGATGAAGACTCAAAGGTTCGGAAGATAACAGGCCCGGTGCACCTCTGTGTCTTCAGAGTGTGTCGTTTCCTCACTAACATTGTGCCTTGATGCTTGGTCATGACACCTGGGGCATTTGGAAAGCTGCCAGAGTTTACTGTGGGGTAGGGGGGAGGGAATCCACCTCTCTCCCTCCCTCTCCAAACACATGGTTGCCTAACCAGTTTCAGATTCCTTTAACATGTAGAATGTTATCCACTCCAAACATTCTCTTACTATTGCTTTTTCTTATTTGACACTGTCTGCAGTTTTCAATAAACCTGAAAACTTGTTAAACTCCACTCATCTGTGTTATGTGACAGCTTTCATGCTACAAAGAGACGACTATTGTTGTAATGTCAATACATCTTCTCTGGTTTTATGTCATCGCAGATATCATCTTTTCAAAGACCCTCATTGACTCAAGGTTTCTTTTCCTAATCACATTTTTTTCACACTCCCTGCCTCCTTCTGAAAAACTGCAGGGCACTGCAATAAAAGTTTCAACTTCTTGAAATTCTTTCCCTGCTCTCTGTCCCCCTTTGTCTCTGGAAGATTCTGAGTGTATTTGCTACTGCAATCAATCTCGCATTTCAGAGGAATGTTTTTAGTCCTATACAGATAAACCCCTTGTAGATATATTGATCTTGGATAATCATTAGGGCTGGGAAACTTTGGGTGTCTCACGATTCGATTTTGATTCTTGGGGTCAGGATTCGATTCAGAATACATTTTCGCTTCAAAACGATTCTGGATTCATTGATCCAGATTAGTACTTACTTCAGGGTCTACTCCAGTCAACTGTGAGACTGGCTGAATTTCTTGTTGCTCTATTTGGCATTCTACTGAGTGAAAGAGCTAGCCTTAGCACTTAGCAGGGAGTGACTGATTAGCCCCCTCTCTATCTCTATTTTTACATAAATAGATTTTTTCCCCCACCTCTAATAATCATCATGTTCATTCATTGATAATATACTCTTTTTCTTATTCAATACAGTAGATTTTGTGTTAGCCTTCCAATAAAGCTGTTATAATTCAGTTAACTTTCAGAATAGCCTCTTAAGAAGGTATTACTAGAAAAATATCAGACATGCTTAGCTCACTAAAGACATTTTTCACAAGCTTATTGTCCCAGTCACGGCCCAACTGTGAGAAAACAATGGCGCCTGTACTTGAATGATGCAGTTTCCATATTTCAATCGTGACAAGCTGGGCAGAACTCTGGAATCATTGTTATGAGACCCACAGGATGTCCTGAGGAAGAAGTCAGCGCAGAGTTGTACGCTAGCATTCAGAGCCAGGGAGGTGCACTGCAGGGAGGCTCGCACTGCTGCGTCTCCTCTCTTCTGGTGTCCTCTAGAGTTTCCCTAGAACGTGGGGCTGCCTCCCCAACACAGGATGCCATGACCCGGGATCTTTGCTTCATCTTTGGTTGGGAATTTAATACTAATGAACCACCTTTGACATGGGTCAAATTTGCTCTAATGAAGAGAAAATGGAAGCACAAAAGATAGAAAGCAGCCTGGAAACTAAAACTGTTTAGAGCGCCTTCTGTTTTTCCACAGCAACGGATTCACATTGTTGAGGTTTTCTGGTCCTTGGTTACTAGATAACAATGCTAGGTTACGGCGAGTAAAGGTAAGTGTTGTCATGGTTGTCAAAAGTGTAACATGTCGCAGAACTCAAGCTGTGTGAGTGTTTCCTGTTGCAGGCAGACAGGAAGTACTCAGCTTAGTCGGATTTCACTGCCTGTGTCTTCCGTTCCTCTGATTTCTTTATGCAAAGCTCTACTTGCTGAGCAAACCGTTTCCTGACAACGAGAGCTCTGTGCACACGTTCTCAAAGATCTGTAAGTCTTTGACAGCCTTTAGGGATTACAAACAGTGATTGTCTGGCTTGCTTAAAATAGTAGAGTGTGTACAATGAATTGTCTCTTCTGTGCATGATCAACATGGAGGATGGCAAATGGGATTATAACACATCGGAACACAGGAGGGAAAATTTGGGACTTTTTCTGAATATTTCTTGAATATTTCCCCACTTGGAGATCATCAAAGCTCTACAGAAGATGTTTGGGACTTGGTAGGAAGACATTGACTGTGCATGTTATTTCCTTGGACTTCGTCTGCTTTAACAGTTGTGGATTTGAAGCTGTTTTCAAAGCCTTCTCTTTCAAACTCTTGAGCTCAGAGGATTTAATTTGTGTCTGTCACCGAGGAGAAAGTTAACACTTGGGGTTAGGGGTGCTGTGACAGCTCTAGCACTTTTAAAGGTGATAAATCACTACACAAAGGCTAAACAGTTAACTATGGTCTCTTAAACTAAAGGTTGCAGAAAAAAAGAAAGGAAAGCTTTGTGGCAAATTGATTGAGTCTGGATTCAAAACGTTAAGCACTTTGGTTAAATCAGTTTGAACTATCGTCGTTGTCCTTAGCATACTAGTGGTTCTGAACACCCGGCCACTTACAGGCCTATCTATTAATCATACTTTTGCTGACTGATGTTTCACTGAAATCTTAAAAAACATAATTTACACTGAACTTTTTGTGCGTTTTATCTCTCTGTCCACAGGCGTTAACTTCAAGGAATTGGACCCAGAAAACACAACGGCTATATTTAGCGAGATACACACATCCATCGACACTTTGGCATTCACATTCGGCAATGTGTGAGTACAATGTGTACCTTTTCAACACGACTACATTCTTATGACTTTTGGGTGTAACAGAAAAGTAAATCGGTCTTTTATGTTTTAACAGAGATTTGGGTTTGTTGTTTGTTACTTTTCCGCAAAGCCTTTTATTATAGAACATATTTTCATTTGAGAGCATGAATGTACTTATTAACATTTATCTTCACCCCTCAGAGTTTCTGACTTCCTTATGGGAGATGTGGACAATGGCTCAGGGTTGGGGGGTCCCCCAGACCAGGAGAAGCAGGGTGAGACCATTTCTTTTCCCTTATCATTTCAGACTAGCTCTTTTTTATTTTCTTCAGAACTTTATTTTCCAAACGTGACACTTTTTAAAAGTCTTCCCTCAAAGCTGTAATTTGACCACGCCTCCTTTAAAAAAAAAAAAAAAAAGCCTCAAAGACTTACTTTTTTGTACTTAATTGGGGTGTTGAAAACCCAGCTGCTTCTGATGTCTAACTTTGATTGTATGTCTGCTACTCCCTCCTTATAATCCGAGATGTCTTTTTCACAGTCTTTTGACAACCTCTCTGTGGGTCCTGAGGGATACGTTTCAGAGAAAAGTGACCTTGTGGGTAAGTGTTTTTCACAGTCCCTCATTTGCCTCAGAGCAATGTGTGTGTCAAATAAATGAATCCTTGAAATGTAATAGCTATTAACGGCTGCTTCACAAAGCATTTAATGGTTGCCAAGGGCTCCCAGGCGTCGTGTCAGCTCGTGAGTTAGTGGAGTGATTTAGGCTTTGGACTCTTGAATGCCTGAGGTAGACCCGCCTTAAACCTCTGCTTCCACCCCTGTTATTTCTTGCTGCTTTTTTTTCATACAAGCTGCTCGTTTTCCTCTTCTCCGTCCACATATCTGACATTCCTTGCCTGTTTAGGAGTAGTTTCGTATGCGATAGGAAACACATGCGGTTTTAGTTAAATCAGATGGTGGATGGCTGGGAGAGGTGCACCACAGTGGAACCAGTAAAAAGCAAATAATGCTGTTGGACTATTTTTAAAAGATGCCCAACACCTTCATATCCTCCCACGCTGTCCACTTTAACCTTTAATGTGTGTTTTTTTTCTTTTACCTCCCACACATGTCTTCTGGGATAGTAGCACTGAGATGCTGCAATCCAACACCTGGCTGCTCTGTTGAAACCATATGTTGTGATTCACTCTGTTTGATATGCATTTTTCCTTCACTGACTCTCCAGGCCCTGAGGTGCCGTTGTCACGGGAGGAAGAAGTCGACCTGACCCTGCTGAAGAATGACGGCGGGGTGGAGTCTGCTCTGCTCTATGCTAAGGCCTGGTCCAAGTACATTAAAGACATTCTATCATGGATGGAGAAACGACTGGCTTTGGGTGAGATAGATCATGGTGCTGTGGGATGCAAACAGAGGGATTTGATTATCACATATTTATTAGTTATTTTATTAAACTGTAATCTTTTGGTAAACGTACCCCATCTGCTGTTGCAGTCCAGTTGATACAAGACGAAGAGAGTTATCTGCAAATTGTATCTAAATCCGAGTCATTATTACCCTGTTTAATGTTATTTGACGGTTAAGAGTCAACCGGCTTATAATGGGCACTTAACAGCTATTTAGTCAAAACAAAAAGGTGTCAAGAAGCTACCTCACCTCTGCCAGGGAATTAAGGCTTCCATTCTTTACAATCAAGGACAAAAAATGTCTTCCTACTAATTACTTAACTGTTACATTTAGAAATATCACAATGACTACAATACATTACAGTAAACAATTCAGCCAATGCATCAAATCGAAATTTTATTGTGGATATGCAATACTTCTATCATTCATGCATCTAAACAATATCATAGGGTCTATTTGTGCTTATACTTTAGGTGACTATATCAAAAAGCTTTGTATAATTTTCCTGTTTGCTCTATTGATTGTTGCCATAGTAACATCTACCAAGTACTCTACTTACATTTTGTTTACTGTAAGATATACATGTATGCAATATACTCTAACTGTACATACTGCATACATTTATAACAAGAATGTTATAACCGTGGATTTATGGGTGACAGCGCAGTGTTTCCCTTAGGTTGAAGTTCTAGCAGCGGAAGTGAAGTATAACAATTTCTAAGTTGTGTTCAATTTTCTTTCATTGTTCATTATTATCTTTAAAATAATTAAACATTTATTGGACATTAATCAACCAACAGCCACCCTATTGTCATAGCCTGGCTCGTGGGTAATGGTAAAAGACGAGAGGAGTCCGAAATTTACCAAAGACAATGAATAATTTATTTCAAAACCATGGTCACATTTGAGTCTGTAGCGCAAATTAATATAATATTAGTTTCTAAGTTTCATATTTCAGCAGCGGTGCACCTCCACTGCTAGATGCATATAGGGGAAACACTGCAGCTGATTTTTTTATCCAGATTTTGGCTTATAATTGGTTGACAGTGATTTTTAAAATACATTAGTGCTTATATTTTTGTACAATTCTCTATCTTTCAGACATTGAGTATGCCAAAAATTATGCCAAAATGGCTGACTCTGCAAAGACACTGGCCAGTCAACAGGTAACAGAAAAGCTTTTTTTTCTTTTTAATATGAAAACTTTAATTAGTAAAAACATGTTACCTCACGTGGTTATTAGAAATCATATTGGTATGTCATGGTTATTAAGATTGATTTTTCTTTATTCCATTTGTCAAAGGATTACATGCCTTTCAGCGATATCTACGTCTCTACATTCAAGAACGACATTGAGTACACACAGCTGCTTATTCAAACTGCGACGGCTCTTCAAACTAACAAATTTATACAGGTAAGAGTGAGAAAAAAGAAGTAGACTGAATTCAACGTAGAGCACTTTTTTCTATTATAACTAAGAGACATCTATTACCTTGTGTTGTTGAATAGATTTCAGAGTTTGACAGGCAATGACTCTCATGACGCTCTGAGCAGAGCAGAATTATATTTTTTAACCTTGGACAATACTGTACAGAAAGAGTGTACTCGACTCCATAAAGGAAAAAGGTTAATGGGGATTATCCTTGAGGGAAAATTGACTGGCTCCTTTGTAAACTCTTACACTCTAAAAAAATAATTGTTAGTTCATTAAAGCACAATAATGTGGGTCCTTTTATCTCTAGAAAAAAAAATGCAAACAGAAATACTTTTAGATAATTGAAGCCTTCCTGTGGTCCTCGTTTCAACACACATATTCTGTTACAGTACTTGCTGTATAAGGTCACACTCATTAATGATATAGTTAATATCTGCATTTATTCTTCAGTGTAAAGCTTAAAGAAACATAGTCAGTAAAAAGCCTTTTCAAATTGTTGACCTCAGTGTTATTGTCTTTATTCAGCCTCTTCTGGCCCGCAAACACGAGCTGGACAAGTCGAGGAAAGACCTCAAGGAGCGGTGGCAGAGGGAGCAAAAGAAAATGGTATGTGATGAGTCCCTGTTCAGATACTGTACACTTTAGATCCACGCTTTAATCTTCATAGCAATGCTGTTTGTCTTTATGCATTATAGACAAGGCAGCATTCCATTATACCTGGTGTAAAGTAGTCTGCCAGTCAGAAGATGATCAGATATGTACAGTTAATATAAATATACTTCGATTAATTTCTTACTATTTGCAAAAGCCCCCAAAAGATAGGCATGGATCGGTTTAAATTTTCACATTGCCCTGGCTGTTTATAAAATGTACTCTCAATTCACATGTGAGGCAACTCTCAACCAAAACAATGTGTGTAATAATAGGTATTTTCACTGCCGCACACCTTTTTTTAATAATATGGTGGTTCGTTATCTGTGGTTTGGCAGCAAGAGGCAGATATAACCTTGCGTAAGGCACAAGCGTTGAAGGCGCAGAGGAGAGAGGAGTACCAGAGAGCTCACTCATCTACCAGCCGCTCCCAGGAGGAGCAGTCTAATGCTGGTAACAAACATCTGGAGAAGAAAAGGAAGCTGGAGGAGGAGGCTCTGCAGAAGGTGGGCAAGTGACGGTGTGACAAGAGGGAATGAATAAGAATGATAAACAGCATATTATTAAGTTTTTCTAAACATGACCTGAGCTCATAGGTTGGATTTACCACACCTGATGATAACTTATATGCATGTCCTTGTATGAAAATAATCTAACAACTTTTCAGTTTATCTTGACAGTATAGTAGTAAGCTTCTGCAGTGTCATTGTTCTAGACAATAAAGCATGTTTTCCTCTTATCTTACACTTCTCTGTGTATCAATTGTCTGTTCAGGCCGAGGAGGCCCAGGAACAGTACCAGAGCTGTATGGCTGACGCAGGCGTCAGGAGGAACGATCTAGCCAACGCCAAGAGCACCATCCTCACACAGATCCGAGAGATGATCTTCCAGTGTGACCTCACGCTCAAGGCTGTGAGTGAAAGTTATCAGTCAAAAAACAAATCAACGGAGAGAAGGAAACTGGGCTGTCCAATAACATTCACTTTAGGTTTCACTTTCTCCCTTGATCAGTCAACTTAATAATATGTCCTCACTTCCTCAGGTGACAGTCAATTGGTTTCAGATGCAGCAGGCGCAGACCATGTCACTTCCTGCCCACCACCAGGCCCTCAGTGAGAGTGCCAAGTTATACGAGCCGGGTGAATGCTATGCTGAGTTTGTCCGGAACCTCGCCAAAAATCTGCCTAAGGAGCGGCTGCACTCAGACTCCATCTCCTTTGACAACGCCAGGTACCAAGAACTGTGAATACACGCTTAGGCCTGTTTAAACCTCGTAGTAACACACTAACTTAGTGATCAGATCACAAATAGAAAAGTACAGTTGTAAATGATAGACTGTATAAAAAAGATGGACGACATGACGGCTTCCACTGTGTACACCAGGTTAGAAGAGTAGAGGAACACAGAGAGGAATAAAACAAAAACTGACATGAACGCCTTGGAAGTTTCCATAACTTTGATTGTCTGCTTTAAACTGACACAAGAATCTGATCCGCCGTAGACTGCACCAACCTGTGGAACTTTTCTCATTTAATTGATACATTTAATTTGTATTTTTGGTTAGCAGAAGGGGCGGGACATAAAAACCACAGCAGAGTCTACTGCACAACTCTGGCTCCCACTGGTGTCATCAGTGCATGTCAATGTCAGCGTATGTGGTTGGGGGATACTTTGGCGTAATTTTTTACAACTGAAGGAGGTGGTGACACACAGTCGTTATAAAGGCGCCAGAGACGCACTGAGGATGCATTGAGATCAGACCACATTCATGGCTGCTATCCCTGTCTGATCTAAATCTTCTCCTGAATTTTAAAACTATTTTTGTTTTATTATTTTCACAAATCATACAAAGCGTTAGAATGGCGTGCACGGAAATGCAGAACAAACGAGGCCTCGTATTGATCCAGCGAGGGGGAAAGCACAGGGACGAGGATTAGATGAGACAGCACCTGGATTCAGGCCAAAGATGTAACGCATGATCAGTTCAATAGAGTAATGCATCACAGTGAGGATTCAGCAGTTCAATATACGGATCTATCTAATCATCTCAGGGCCTGCAGATCTATTTGTTTGTCTGCATGTCATTGTAAACACACAATCCGGTCTGCAGTTTAATCCATACACTGATGAATCACAGAACTGTGGAGAAACACCGGGCTTCATGATGAAAGAAAGCTTTTATATCAGGTCGATACTCTTCAGGCTATGTTCACACACTCGCTCCGCCTCCATCACGCTTCTCTGCTCTGAGTCTGCACCATGCTTGTTTATTTGATTGATGTTTTTATGATGAAACATGTTTGTTTTAATATGGGGACAGAAATGCGTTAGAATGTAAGGTGTGCACAGACGTACCTAGAGCTGTTTTTCTGTGATCGATCACCTGGCATGTTAATAACACACAATGATACCAGCTGTAAACAAGACCTTAGAATCTGGAAACCCCCTTGATATTTAAACTAAACTTGTGTCATTTATCATGGTTTACTGTGGTCTAAATTGTCATCTTTTGGTTTCTGAGGCAAATGTTTTTGGAAAAAATGTCTTCAGGTGACTCCCAGCCTGTCTAGAAGTTGTTCTTCTTTCAGCAAAAGGTAACAGCGAGGAAGAGGGACAGAGCGAGACAGAATCAAGGAGAGACAGAATGCGTGTTGAATTTGCTGCCCTTCCTCAGGAAATATCTGCGGCGCAGGCTGAGTGCAGCAGGGGAGATTGCGAGCGTGAGAGTTTGGCTCCGAGTTAGAGCTTTTCCCAAAGACTCGTCTCAGACTGTCAAAGAAGTGTCAAAAGCAGCTACCCACGCATACACACTCACTACCAGAAGGATAATAAACAGTGCCTCCTTGTATCCCCAGTGTCTAAAAAGTTAGAATTTAAATACTGTTGTTTTAGCTTCATAAGTTACAGTAAAGCATGACTCACAGGTGATGACATTGATTTTTTGAAAACAGTGTTTCGGGCATGTTTGTACTTCCGTTACTGTGAAGCACCAGATGTGTTGAACGTGACATTCTACGTTGTTGTGGTCTGCTGCCTGGGCTTATTTCAGTTTCTGTTCCTAATCCTCTCTTTTAGTCTCAGTAAAGCCTATAGCACTTACAGTTCTGAAAATTCTTTGAGGTAAGCTTATAAGAGACACAAAGGTGTGTATTAATAGAAGGCTTGGTTAGTAAAGCAGAGATCCTACAGTTTACATGTGTGTGTAGTGAAGAGGTGATACCAAACACTGAGGGTCTCTAAATAATGGAGTTGTCAGGTACACATTCAGCTTAACAGATTCAAATGTTTCATGCCTTCTAATTCATAACAGTCTGCTCTGAGTGGTAACAAATGCTGGGAGTTTTGTTGGTGGGCGTTTGAAAGAAACCGATTACATGCCAGAAAAAACGAAAGCCACAAATCTCATTTCCTGGTGAAGCAATCTGAGTCACTGCTGTTGATCAACAATCTTGTCAAATCCCCCAGAAACCCACTGTGGTACAATAATGCTGCGCTTTGTGACAGTAGAAATGCTTTACTTTATTTCCCCAGGTTTGTTTTCAACAAAAGGTCAGTGGGAAGCACTCACTCCTCCCACGGCAACCTGTCGCAGGCATCCATCACCTCATGTGACGTGCTGAGCGGAGATGAAGGGGAGAGTACTTTACAACGGGCTACGAAGATCGGCGAGAGAAGGTCCAACAGCAGCACCGACATACAAGGTGCTCACTCAGTTGTTAAGATTTCTGAAAAAGATTATAACAGAACAAACAAGGACGGCGCTTGTGTGTAGAAGTTCTTAGAATAGCAGCAGACTTCCAGATTTGATTTATTACCTGCCCTAGGAAAAGTAGTGACAGTGGGGGGGGGTCAGGATGCAAGACGGCGTAAAAACATTGCGGAAAATAAGACGTTGACAGAGCCCAACACCATGACAGTTTCTCATCTTTATACATACTGGCAAGCTTTACTTGAACAAAGATTGCATTGGCTGCGTACTGCTCATGTGAGATAGAAGTCATATTTCCCCCCCATCACACACACACAAACACACTTACTCATGGGGAATTTTCATCAACCTGACTTTACACAGCAATATCACTGGGGGCTGGCAGGAGCAAAGACTGGGTAAAGCTGGGGTTGAAAGAAATGGCTCTTTGGGTTCACACATGAAAAAACAAAACAATAGATAAAACTATGACTTCACTAGATGTGGATATTACTTGTATGTAATGTGTTTAATGAATCCCCTACACTTCATTATTATTGTCTGAGGGTTAACACCTAAAGTTTGCGATCTCTATGTGTTTGACTTGTCAGCTCACCCTTAGTTTAGATTTTCAGGGACTTGAGCTTTGACTCATGAATTTTCTTTTTTAGATCTAAGAGCGAAACAGTTTGAGTTGCAGGTTTCTCAGTTTTCACAAGCCTGGAATATCTGCGTGACAACTTGTCTATGAAAATAGCTGAAACTGACTCTATGAATACCACAAGAGGAAGTTGCATTTTAAACATTTTTTATTGCTTAACATTAACATTTTAGTGCCTGTAAGTGAATGGTGGTGTGTGTTTTCTTGCAGCCTTGAGAGGTCATGCCACAATGAGGGCCTGGGCTTCATGTAGTCAGGCGAGCCAGGGCGGGATGTGCAGCGACTCGGAGAGTGCGGGAGGCAGCAGTGAGTCCAGGTCCATGGACTCCCCCACTGCTAGTCCAGGTAAGACCATTTCACATCACTTTTCATAAAAGGCTTTAAGGGTATATCTAAATGGAAACAATGAATGAGCACATAGAACAAGGAGACATGTGATCACTAAACTATCTCCCTGTAAGATGTAAGAAAAACTCTTTTGAGTGAGCTGACAAAAATGGTGAGAAGATCAAAGCAGGAAGGAGAGAAGAGCTTCAAAACAGTCACGACAAAGTTTAGAGACGATAAAGGTGCTTATGACATATTACTTTTTAATAGAATCTCTCTCTTGCAACTTCCTGATTGTGTACCAGACTCATGCACTACTCATCTCTTAGTGCACTTCCTCTAAACCTGGAACTGCTGACCACACGGACTAAAGCCTTGACATAATCAACACTATCTATCTAGCGGATCTATTCCTGAGAGATCGCTTCAGAAAAAAGTGGATTTTCTTAAAATTGAGTTAACGGTCACAGAACATTATGTTCATATTTTTGACTCATACACATTCACATGTGCAGGGGACTTCAAAAGACGGCTGCCAAGGACTCCCTCTACTGGGACTATGTCCTCTGCAGATGATCTGGACGAGAGAGAGCCTCCATCGCCCTCAGACAACGGTAAGGCATGTGTGTTCAAGTTGGTTTGTGTGCGTGTGTTATTTCTTTCAGTGTCCATTTCTCCTTATGCACATGTATGGTTGTGGTTGCAGCAACCGAGCCAGTCAGTGTCTCTGTCCATGTGACAGGGAAGTTAATGTAGAGGGGAGGTCTACTGCACACTTCATAAACGTTCTTTTTCTTTACGACCACGATTCAGTGGAGGATTTCGCTTACGTCAAATGTTTTTACAGTCGAGGGAGCTTCACAGATTGCGGTCATGTTAGTGTTGGCGAGCAGCCTCAGCTTACACTTCCTGTATCTGTACTGAGCTCTACCAGTCATGGGAAATGTCTTTATTTTCCCATTGTGAGCCGATCTGATGTCTGACCTAATTCTTCTTGTGTGTTTAGTGGCATCTTTTAATTTGTATGATCTGTGAGTAGGTTGATTTTTTAGATAACAAGAAGGCCTGCATGATATAAGAAACTTAAATAAATAAAATGTATGGAAAACATATTTTTAAAGAGTGCAAATTAGCTCTAGCTCTGTTGTTCTCCAAGGTTTACGCCGCACATACTGTGTCTGTCAAAATGTACACATACTGAGGGAGAAAGCATTTTTTCCCCATTAAATAAATATTATTTTTAATTTACTGTCATAAATTCGGACTCCTACAATTTGTTTATTGTACATTTTGATATCACAAGAACGGAATTGGACCTAATTTGGCAGCCCTGAAAACAAGCCCTGTATATTTACAGCACCATATGACCATTATAACTATGTGATTGTGATGTCATCAAGTGATAATGTTCACATGACTCTACTGTTGTATCATTATAATCACATCATAATTAAGTCTTCTCTGATGTAGAAACTTTAAACTGTTCTGACGTTGGCAGCTCATGAGTTAACTCTTCACATGAACTCACTCTCCACTCACATTTCTACCTCAACAACAAAGTTTTCATCAGTTTCACTTCAGTGTCAGTTTCAGTTTCTTTCAACGAACCTTCTTCATCTCCCTCCTACTGCTAGCAGAGGGAAGTAACATCTCCAGGAAGTTCCCCTCATTAGATTCTTTGGTTTTCAGGTCTCGCAGAGATGGTGACAGAGACTGCTAGTTCTCCTGGTCCCTTCAGAAATGCTCAGATGTCCAAAGCGGCTCAAACCCACAAGCTGAGGAAACTACGAGCTCCTTCCAAGTGCAGAGAGTGTGATAGTCTGGTGGTTTTCCACGGAGCAGAGTGTGAGGAGGTACAGTACATTCAGTCATTTATTAGATGTAGAATATATTAAGGGTGTTAACATTTTTGACACTAGGATACTTTTCAATTTCAATTTCAATTTCAATTTAAATATATACAAGTGTGGTAGAAGATGAAGCCATTCAGACAGTGTTTAGAATTTGCTTGCAATTTTTGAGAATCAAAAACCAAGAAATAACTCAATGTTGGGTGCCTAGGACTATTTATGTTGATACCCATACTGTTAGATTTTTACTTGTTTCGTATCAAAGTTTAAAATTCTGCGATGGTGACAACCCCAGAATCTGTTATATTTGAGTGTTAGCTATAGTGTAGATCATAGCGGCATGAAACACTTACAGCCATGTTAGTTATTGACTCATGCTGAATTAGGAATAATAAATGTAGCAGACATAGCCACTATCTGGTTCCATTTGGCTCCAGCATAGTTTTTATCATGAAATATGTTGAGCTAAGAAAACAAAAAGATAAACTAAACCAGTTGTTTGATTAGTAAGAGCTTGTTTAAATATTTATCAGCCTTCCACTAGATATTGTGTTTCTTTATTTATCTGTCTCTTGTCTTCTTTTCTCTTCCAGTGCTCACTTGCCTGCCACAAGAAGTGTCTGGAAACGCTTGCTATCCAGTGTGGCCATAAAAAGCTGCACGGCAGACTACACCTGTTTGGCATCGACTTCGTTCAAGCAGCCAGGAATAGTCCAGATGGTATCCCTTTTATCATCAAGAAGTGCACGTCTGAGATCGAGAGTCGGGCCCTCAACATCAAGGTACACTTATTAGACACAGTGGTGTTGATTATGTTTTAATATTGAAATCTTAGAAAACAGAGCTGGAGGAGTTGTGTGTTTAATTTGTCATGATTATCTGTGACCAAATCTGTGTGCCTGTTATGTCCTCGCAGGGGATTTATCGTGTGAATGGTGCAAAATCTCGTGTGGAGAAGCTCTGTCAGGCGTTTGAAAACGGGAAGGACTTGGTTGAGTTGTCTGATCTCTCACCTCATGACATCAGCAATGTCCTCAAGCTGTACCTAAGACAGGTGGGTCCGAAATTCCTTTCGACAAGTTTAAAGGTCTGTTATAGCTTTAATTATAAAACAGGTCAGTTTAGCAAAGAAGTCAGAGTCACAGATGCTTTCACTGTCAAGCCTTCGTCCTTATTCTTCAAGTGGGATGACGATCTCTTGGGTTTAACACTTATGTATTGTTTTTTATTCATTAAACATGCATTGGTTCCTAGCATTCGCCACTGTGACCAACTCAAATCACACCATCCATTTCTCTCTACTCACAGTTACCTGAGCCATTGATCCTGTACCGATACTACAACGACTTCATCGGCTTGGCCAAAGAATGCCAGAGAGTGATCGTCGAGGAGGCGGATAAATCCCAAAGTCCCCAGACAGGAGAGAAAAGAGGGCCGAGCGTCCAGCTCAACAGAGTCATTTTTAAGATCAGAGACCTCCTCCACCAGCTGCCCTCAGCCAACTACAAGACTCTGCGCTTCCTTGTAGCTCACCTGAACAGGTAAGGGCTGGAAACAGACACCCAGAGCCTGTTCATAGGGAAGTTTCCAGTCTGTCGTCATCTGTTTAAATACATCAGTGCACAAACTTCCCTATAAGACACAAATGGAAACAGTAACTTCCCTATAGCACTTCTTACATAAAGTGTGTTTCCCATAAATAGCTGAGTTGTTTTCTTTAAACCTGAGAGCAGCATCAATATTTTTAAATACAATTTCTGAACTTTTGCCCTTAATGTTTAAATTAGACACAATTGAAACTACATTTACACTGAAACTACATTTCATTCTTCATTGTATTCACAGGACGAGTTGTCCATGTCAGAAACATTATTTGGATGTTAGCAGCTTCTTCAGGCAGGTTTAGCTTCTCAGTGAAACATTTCTTCATGCCATGGGAAACAGTGACTGTCCCATTTTACAATATTACATGTCGCTCTGAAGAGTTTCAGCCTCAGCCAATGCATAAAACATGTACTGTAAACATGGATAACTGATCCTGTGTTTTTGTAAATTATCTTCATTGAGACAGTTTGACAAACAGCCTCCAGAAATTGTGAGAGTCTCACACAATGTTCCTTTTCTCTTTCCTTTTTTTTTTGACAAAATAAAATGAAATACAAAACAAAAAGAAATGGCAGAGGCCTAGATGTTGTATCTACCCCTAAACATAGCTCACACAACCCAATCTATGCTCACGTATGAATATGCTTCCAGTATTTCCATTCTGTGTCCAGTACATGTAGGAACATAAATAAGTGACACTAGGAATCAGTCAAAAATAAACAATAAAGTGAGGAAAGAAAGAAAAATAATTACGACAGACATGTGTAGCAGTGAAGGGAATCCAGAGAAAAGCACATTATTATTATTTTTTTATCTTTTAGATAGAATCTGTGGTGTTCAAATTGCTATTATATATTTAATCAAATTCTCCAGTTTCTTTTTAAATCTGACAAAATTCAATTTTGTAGAAAAAGTCTGTTGTATATATGTTATGCATAGCAGCATACCAATCCTCCACCGTGGGTCTCTGTCCACAACCAGTTTTAACTCCTCTTCTCTCTTGCCCACCACAGAGTGACCGAGCAGGCCGAGGAGAACAAGATGACGGCAAGTAACCTGGGAATCATCTTTGGCCCCACCCTGGTCAAGCCACGGCAGACAGACGCAGAGGTGTCACTGTCCTCCCTGGTGGACTACCCCTACCAGGCCCTGATGGTGGAGCTGCTGGTTCGACACTTCAAAACGGTCTTTGACGGATCACATCTGTCCTGCTCCAACAACACTGGCCAGGCGTCCCCCAGACTCACCCCCCAAGAGAAGCTACAGCGGCTCAGCAGGCACTCTGCCTCCCTGACCGATATGAAAGAGGTGAGAAGGATGTGAAACGTTTTCCTCATGGCATATTATACCCTTAGAGTTTCACAACAACCATACAGTTATATATTTGTTATCACAAAGACCTGAGGTGTTGGGATCGCCCTTAATGGACTAGCAGGTCTTATATGACCCAAGAACCATTTAGTGCTTTATTAATTAAGTGTAGGTTTTTGAAATCTATCCCTTGACTCACAGGTAGCCAGTGTAGAGGTCTGAGGTCTGATCCACACACACACACACACACACACACACACACACACACACACACACACACACACACACACACACACACACACACACACACACACACACACACACACACACACACACACACACACACCTTCACCTCTCCTCTCTTAAACTCAGAGGCTTGTCCCACCCTACCTCTTTCTGCTTCTCTCTGCCTGTTAGTGTTAACTTCTTTTTCAGCAGTTGTTTAATGAAGTCAGCCAAATAACACACCTCCCATTTTACAAAGTTTCACTTGTGTTTCTGTTCTCACAATCGATGAGCCGTGTGTTGTGTGGTGGATGTCGTCCAGATTTTAATCTTGTTGTTTATTTTGATCTTTCAGAATGCAAAGGTGTACAAAAGATTCTCATCAGTGATCCCGTCCTCACACATCCTGAATGAGGTCCAGGAGGTCCAGCCAGGAGCGGACAGAATGGACGGCGGCACTCTGGACGGACTCAACGGGATCCAGACATCTAGCGCAGCAGAAGTCCAGAGGTCGACCTTAGTGTTTGGCCGTCCCAGCACTACCGACCCCCCCACCACCACCACCACCACCGTGGCACCAAAGGTCCAACTACGCACCCAGCGCTCCAGACATGTGTCTCGACCGATCAGCATGCCGCTGGAGCGCCTGCCCACCCCTGCCCAGATCTGCGAGAGGAATAATTGTAATACTGCTGCTAATGCTGAAACAAGCTCAGCTGAGCAGAACACAGTCTCTGAAACTATACAGGAGATACCAGAGCTGGAAAAGGCTCGCCAAAGTGGCTCATCGAGGGTGAGCACGTATTACATCACCCCTTTCATCGACACACAGACAATGCAGAGGAGGACGTGGGACAGAAAGTACAAGCACTATGATGTCACACCCAGGACTGCTATGATTGTGGCCAACCTGCCTCCTGCCAGCAGCGGAGCGCAACCTGTAAAGGCTACGATGCCCGTCAGTGTTAGCTCGGCAGTTACCACTGTTTCTGTGGTTCCTACAACTAGCAGTGTGAGCACCATCTTCTCCAACAGCCCGTACACGGTGACAGTAAAACCTGTCTGGACTTCTAAAAGGGAAAATGAGACAGACAAATCAGCCAGTGGGTCGAGCAGCTCACCACACCTCCCGCTAACACTCAGGGCACCGAGGACTCTGCAGCCCCCTCCTGGAACTTTCTACAAACCTCCTGTTAGCCTTAACAGCCGAGCTAGGACACTTCCAAACTGGACTACTACTATCACCACCATCACCACCACCACCTCCAACGCCTCCTCTCTCACTCCCACCAACCCTGCAGAGGGAGTTACCACACCTCCTACTGTAACAAGCTCCCCACATGCACCCAGGCTCCAGAGACAGGACTCCACCGACAGCACCACTGAACTCAAGGTGTCGACCTCCGATACACTCTCGCCCCCCCAGTCCCCTCCCCCCAGCAGCCCGGACGACCTCAGCCCCGGTGACAATAAACCCGTCTACCAAAGACTGCGACCTCGGCGGTTGCAGGAGCTGGAGCACAGAGAAGCTCATTTTGTCTGACGCCAAAAAATATCTGTAAATATTTATGAGTTAATCTGTGCCATAGTGTATACTTGGGATAACATTTTTTTATCATACGAGCCGAAGAGAGGGAGAAAATGTAAGCCTGTGAAAATAAACCATGAAAGTGTTATAAGTACTAATATATTGTATTTTAAATGTTTAAGTCAGAAATACAACAGTGGTTGGTGTCAGCGTTCAAAACAAGTCGAAGCTAAAGAGATGCCAACATTGAACGTTGAAGTGTTGTTTTTTTTTAATAACAAATACTATGTAATACAAAGAAAAGTTGCCAACCACCAATTGACATTTGTCTGTAAAGAATATTAAGCCTATCGTTTCTTTGTTTGACTTGAACAGTTCATGTACAAAGTATCATTTGTCACCAAATTGTCTTTTATTGTAATTACACAATGCACTTAATGCAGTTTCAAAATCCTGTCTTTTCCGCAAATGTTAAGAAGTTTTTATTCCACGAGCAAAAGGAAGAAGTATTTCAAAACAAAGGTTCTCGATTTGAAAAGAGTTCGACATGTTGACTCTTAAATGTGTCCCTTGTAGTCTGTGATTGGTACAAGTTGTCTCAGTATGTAAACCTTCTGCATCTGTAAACCTTTTTATATAAAATCATACATACTGCATGTTGTCACGTTAACGCTGACTCATTGTGATTATTGTTGTGACTATTCAGAAGACATGCAGCTGTTCTCGCTGCTAATTAAAATACGTAGTAAAAATGTAACCTCTGTTCATATGGAGTTTATTTTGTATTTTCTTTAAAGCTGCTTATGAATCTGAATGAAATCAATACTGATGTTTCTTTAAGACCTTGAAAAGCAAACGTGACCTTCAGCAATAAGATCGATTGTTTCCATTTTGTTTTATTAATGTCTGAAAGAGCTGCCGGGGGGGAGGTGTCGGGCACATTTTTGATTGCACACGGCCAAAACAACTTTTTTAAAACGTTTTTCTCTGCAAAGATTCTCAATGAGTGATACATGTGAACAAAAAATATATCATGTACAGGTCAAATGAGCAAAGATATTCAAGGTGCAGCTTTGTTCAATGGAGTCTCCAAAATCGACTCAAACAAAACGTCCCTCACAGGAGCTTTAATCTCTGTTCAGGGCTTCAGGAAACCAGGGTTGTATGTGAAACCTTTTTTTTTTTCTTTGCAGACATTTAGATGTTTGTTTACCTCATGTTTCTAACTTTTGCTACCTTATTTGAAGCCATGGTGTTTAACTGTGTGAAATTGGATTTTGGACAAATTGAAGAACAGGTCTTGGGTCCAAAGCTGCAACAAAGTGTTTTCTCAGTTATTTCTTGAAGAGTACTCTTTAGTCTGTCTTTAAATTGACCAACAATTGTATAAAAAAAAAGTCGTAAAAGTTTGCAAGGGATATTTTTTGAATCACCTTACAATGATTAGAAAAATACTAAAAGTTCACTATGGAGGTTTGGTAGAGAAATGTGGAAGTTGGAGAAATTCATAACTCTATACACAAACTGTCCTCAGAGGAGAATTTGTTATTTGAAGATAAAATGCTATGTGAGAAGTTACGGTGATTGACCCGCAACAGTGAAAGTGTAACTCTCCTGCTAGCTTTTTAGCTCCAAACAGTGTTCAGGGACCCATTTTTTTCTTTGAGTAAAGTGTGTGTATTTAGTTCAGAACATATAGCATAGAATTATTAAACTTCTCCAACTTTCAAATGTCACTACCAAATCTACATAGTGCACCTATAAAAGAAAAGTGTTACATTCAAATATCTGGAAACTGATCATGTTTGTATTTAGAGAAGCAAACAACATCTGAACACCAAGGTGCTCCAGTTTAAAGGATTTATTGATGAGTGACATTTCAAGCCAACATGCTCATCCTCAGACTTGAAAGTGTATTTTGTGAGTCCCCATCTTAAGTATATGAATATAAAAATATAAAGTGTTGAGGAAGATGTTGGCTTGAAACGTCACTCATCAATCAATCTTTTAAACGGGAGCTCCTTGGTGTGCAGATCTTGTTTGTTTCTCTTCACTTATTCATGTTTTTGAATCCAGCTCCCACTGAGGGCTGTGCGTGTCTTTTTTTGATTCTTCATATTTTGATTAAGACTACAAAAATCAGCTAAGGGTTTCAGCTTCATCCGACGTTTGATCAACTTTCCTTAGAAGTTAAATTTCATGTTTTTCCTGAAGCCCTGTTAACACAAGTTTACTTTCTGTTTATTAATTTAACTACACATGGTGTGCATCCTTTTGTCATTTCTCCAGAAATTCAAAATGTCTAATTTTTGCTGTAATATCCTAAATTGGAAAAAACACGGAGGAAAAACAATTTTTTTTTAATAAACCCAGGTTTGCTTAGCCACATGGATCCCCAGATTTGAGGATTAAGCTGTGAAGTTAACTCAGTTTTAAGGTAAGCTGTGTCACATACACACACAGTTCACAGCAGGTTCGAGTGGTTTAATGTGCTGCTGTCAGGGCGCCACACTCTGCGCACCTAATTACCCATGTCACCTGCTCCACCTCGTCGAGCTGCTCGGGGGAGTGAGTCATTTTAGACTTGTGCGACACAAAAGCAGCAACAAAAAATAATTTTCTCTCAGTCTGTTTTGTTCCTGTGTAAGTCTGTCAAAGCCCTCTGATGTTAACTTGTAGGTGTTCAGCTGGAGGACTGTTATGTTAAATGACATTAACAATGCACGTAAATCTGGCTCATTCACACTCAGACAGTTTCAGCTCCCCACTGTGCCACTCTTTTCATTTGACACATCTCCCTCCTTTTCTTTCCAGCAGATATTCCCCTATTTCTGCCACAAAATGGATGACTGTTGTCTTTTTTCTGCCTGCCCATGTTGAGCTGGGAGATTAGAGCAATCAGATTAGGAGTGCTGCTGACCTGCAGGCAGAGGAGAGAGAGAGTGGGCAGCTCGGAGTCATACGGAGCTCCTCTACCTGCCTCGCTTAATGTTTGCCATTACTTCAGCCTCTTTGTGAACCTCTTTCTCTAGATGTCGTACGACTTTTATATCATTCTGTAAGAGGTAAGGACCACAATTAAGTGTTTTACTCTCAGATCGACTAAATAGGATATGTGATGAGATTACATAAGAGCTGACAGGTAAACCATTGCTAATTACTCTTGAAGTTTTTAGTATGCTTTGATTATAACATGATGTTGAAGTGCTAATGTATTGAAATGTTTCTGCTGCTACGGCTTCTTGCGTCAGCTACTTTTCACATGCTGCAGTTTTTCAGTCATGTATGACAGAAACATTTCTGCACGTTTTTTTGTCAATCTTTTGTGAGGAAGTGTGTAACAACAGTTTGAGTAATAAGGTAATTTAAGCAACACATGAATAGCCTTTACTCTTGCCCTTTCAGCCCTACAGTCTTTGTCCTCTTGTATATGTATTTATGTCACCGCATCCCCAGTCTGCCGGTGCGTGGTAATCTATTGGACATGTCACTCTGAACAAATTACACTTCATGTCTGACATCTCCCAGGTCATCTGGACATAACCCAGATCGTGTTTGAGGTTTTTTTAAATTGAGTTCTAAAATGAATTTGTCCTCTCAGAATAAGTTTGTATGATAGAATAGATACAATGATGAACTGTGTCATGCTTATCTATAAACACAAACATTTTCTTTATGATAATACACTTTAAAAAAAAAAAAACATTTTCAAGTTCAGAGAGTGCTTCTCAGTGCAGCAGAAATAAACACTGTCTGTCTTTTTAATAATGGTACATACTTTACATGGAAAAGTGTGAGAATAGTGATATTTTTTTTCTTGAGTGAAATTTCCTCTTTTTGCCAACATGCCTATAAAATAAACGTAAACCTGGAAGTGTATCAAAACTTCTCAAAACCCTCGACATAAATGTAATTCTTGAGTCAAGCTCAGGTCAAATGCAATGCTTTAGAAAAGTTGGTTCATGTAAAATCACATTTTTAATTTTTTTATTTAACCTTTATTTAACCAGGTAATTTACCTGATGGAATAAGGAAAGCTTTAAGTTGCTTGTTTAGTTAATTGGTCTATAGCTGCAAAAATCAAACACTAACAATCCACAGTTTTTTGTGACTGTTAAAAAAGAAAAAACATCATTCCACTATGTGAACTCAAATGTCTCTTGAAAACACAATCCGAGATAAGGTGCTTGTCAGATCAGACCCGAGGACTGTAGACTTTGGGTCCTCCTGACTGCCAGGCTCAATCATCTTGTCCAGATTGTCTTCCCTCTTGGTGAGAAGTGCCATCACTGACTGAGTGGTGAATCTGCAGGTTTGTCACAGTCTGATGACCCCGTCCAGGGGCAAAGCTGCGGAGCAATGAACACAGGCTCTCAAATCCGCCTGTTGCTGTGGAAGAACTGGACCCTCCGCAAGAGACAGAAGGTATTATTGTGAAAATACATCAACTTATAAAACTAGTTCAGCTGTCTATTACTGTAACATCACAAACATTGTCTGTCATTATCGTGACATAAGCTTAATATAATAAGCTGCAGATTGTTTTTATTGGATTAGAACGTACAGGGTGTTCCAGTTTTGCTTCATGTGTTTACCGTTCCCCTGTCTGTGTGTGTCCAGGTCCGCTTCCTGGTTGAGATCTTCTGGCCGGTGTTGTTATTTGTTGGTTTGGTGTGGCTGAGGAAGGCCAATCCACTGTACAAACAACATGAATGTAAGAAAAAGGTTTTTTTTATTTTTTTTTTCAATCATGGGGAATTTCCCAAGAGAAGGTGGAGTTCTTCTTCTTGGAGAGAATAACACGTTAAGTCTTTGGCTTACTTCAGAGGACCTCACATGCACTCCAATGTGTTGTGTGTTTCTTCAGGTCATTTTCCCAACAAGGCCATGCCGTCAGCAGGGATTCTCCCCTGGATACAGGGCATCTTCTGCAACGCCAACAACCCCTGCTTCAGATATCCCACCAGAGGAGAGTCTCCAGGTGTTGTGTCCAACTATAACAACTCAGTGTAAGAAAACTCATGGCACTCTTCAATCTTGTGAAATTCATCCAGATCAGAACATATGAGAATGATGAGATTTTGAATATTTCACAGGAATATGGTTTTAGATATTTTTAGAAGCTATGATTTTTATCCAAATAGCAAGATATGCCCAAATACCACAACTAAATTGTACTGAAAAAATCTCCATAAATGTAAAATCTGTGCTAAAACAGCAATATATTGAATAACTCTAGTGGTGCAGGATTGCCACAGAGAACCAGGTGTAAAGAATATGTTGGCTTGGTAAAAAAAACAAACAGCAAATGTCATCATCACTACTTTAATTCATTCATGTTTTTTTTTTTGTTATTTTACGATCGGTTAAGATCAGATAGCACAGTGGGACATTCTGATTGATGAAGAGAAGTCAGTATAACTACAATGGTTTATGTGTATCTTGGGCTTCTTCCAGATTGGCACGCTTCTATGTTGATGCCCAGGAGCTTCTGCTCAATGAGACAGAGGTCCAACAGCTTGGCCGTCTTTGGCACCAAATGACATCCTTCGCTAACTTCATGGACACTTTACGCCGCAACCCATCTCTGCTGTCAGGTAAAAGGGCAATAGTTGGGAAATGGTTCAGACTGTATCACTTCCCTTGAGAGTAAAATGGTTTGTAAAATCCTTTTTTTTCCAACTCTGTAATCAGAAAACAGAAAGAATAGACCCTTGATGCAAGTCATGTTTCTGTGATTGTAGCTTTCAAACCAAATTGTCACACCAAAAGTTTATCATAAACCTCTATCTCAACCAGATTGGTCTGATTACATTTTCTCGTTCTTTGTTTAAGATTTTCTTCAGTGCATCCTCACTTCTTTTTGTTTTAAAAGATGCTATACCTGATTCTTGAGGTCTCATTTTAATGAACTGTTTTGATAAATTAATTAGTCAAAGTTTCATTTCCAAATGGTGAATGTAAACTCAAAACTTGATCATCATGTGGTTTACCCCTTATCTACTTTATATTATTCAAGCTTTACCCAGGGTACCAAAAGGTTTGTCAAGGAGACTGGTCTTATCACTGCCTGGTCTTGTTTATTATATTGTGCTAGAGTCTAGCACAATATAATAAACAAAGATCAGTCCAAGCCTAGCAGCTTCACTTTAGAGCCTGGTTCAAAAAATAATTTGGTTTGGATAGCTAAAACCTTTAAAGACAAACACTGTACAGGGGGTGATTATTTGTACAACTGAACTTTTAGGCTAAAAGTTATTCATAATTAGGGGCATGGGCACATAGTTGTTGTGTGTCAGGAGGCTGAAGGCCCGTCTCAGCTCTTGGTCTCTTTCTGCTGCTAGGTTAGTGGAAAGTAGTTTGAGATAGAATTTAAAATGAGGCGACCTGCAGTGATTGGCTTCAAAAGCCGGCTTCAGAAACCAATGAGTGACATCACTGAGATTACGTCCATGTTTATAGAGTATATAAATAACCCCCCTCCCCCTAAAAAATGACTACATAATACAAACAAAAGCAAAACAGTCCTCCAATAGGGAACATGGTAGTTACAATACATACTTGACTTATTTTTTAGTTTTACGTTGGTTGAAAAATTCAATCCATCCTTTCTAACAATTCTCAAATACGTCACGCTTGTGTCGCAAAGTGAATATTAATTTTTCATACATCCTACATACATCACATTGAACCAATGTGCTAATGCTTGTGATATACCATTTTTTTTATAGTACCTTTGTTTTTGCCAAGAGCATAATTTTAAACATGTGTTCTTTGGAAAAGCCAAAAAGGTTACTCAATATTACTTCCAAGAGATTAGCGTAACCTGTTGGCTGGGGTGTGCATATAAACACATCCTCTTGCTCAATGGACTTTCCTTTGAAACACCAAACCTCTGCCAATCTGTCTTCCTGAGAATCATTTCCTCTGTGTATTACTGCGTGCCAGACAGGTCAGAATCGTCTTGAGTGGCTCCAACATTTCTCTGCCGCTGCTCTATATTTTTCTTCCAGGCCGTGGGCTGAAGGTAGATGATATTCTGAAGGACGACGAGGTTTTCACAGCCTATCTTTTGCGAGATGTTCCACTCTCGGAATCTATAGTCTACCAACTCGTCAATGCAGAGATACGACTAGAACAGGTACAGTTATAGGTTATTGGTGCATAATTTGAAAATAATGTCAAAGAACACACACATTCCTCTGTGGATCAGAATAAAAATGAAAAGATCAAGAGTTCATTATAGAGATATTTGATGATTCTTAAGACAAATCTCACAACAAACCCAACATTACACCATTTTTCCATATTCCCTAGTTCGCCTTTGGTATCCCAGACCTGCAGCTGAAAGACATAGCCTGCAGTCAGGCCCTGCTGGAGCGCTTCATCATCTTCCCCAGTCGCATGGGGCTCCATGGGGTCCGCAACGCCATGTGTGCCCTCAGCCAGCAAAGTTTGCAGAAGATAGAGGACGTCCTTTATGCCAATTTAGACTTCTTCAAAATCTTCAAACTTGTGAGTTGATGGCCTCATTACTTCCTGTTTGGTTATTGTAACTGAAATGCATACTGGAAACTATCCGTAGTGTCATGGTAGTCATTAATTCCACTTGGAGATCCCCCGAAGGCTGTGTATATGGAGAGATGATGTCTCTTTTCCTTGTAGTGAAGGCCAAAAGGGCTGTCATTTTTCCTGCCTTACTTACATTCAACCCAGTAAATTGTTTTGCTGATATGAAAAGGCTTCACTAAAGCTGTGTTTGATGTCAGCCAGAAGGGATGCATGTTGTTTCAGCCTCATTCATGCATCTTTTTAAAGTAAGGGCCTATGTGAAAGTCTTGGGAAATTTTCAATGCCCCTATGGCTGTTAAGTGAAATATGGCTTTGGAGAAAACAATGATGTTAGCACGAACTAAATGTGACAGACCACCATCACATCAGTTACAGACATTTGCTTTGTGCTGTTAGATTCAGTGGGGGTGAAAAAATAAACACAGTTTGTCATATTACTGTTAGTTTTGTTGATGGGGGCTGGATAGTCTAGCCGTTATGTCACGCATCCAATGTACAGAGGCTTAAGTCCTCATTGCAGCAGCAATGGGTTCAAATCAAACCTACAAAAATAGTTAGTATTGATGAAGCTAGCTGGTGAAGTAATTTAGCAAACTACCCATCTATATCAATGTTTTGGAGACCAAAAGAACCTCATTTAGTCAGCTGTAACTTAGCTATGCTATTTGTATCCAATTTTGGTTACTTTTCAACAATAGCTAATAAACTAATAAGTAAATAGCAAGCTAGCTGTTCTTTTTATCTGGATTGAAAAGAGACTTAGCTGAAGCTATCCCCTCAATACAGTATTTTGTTAAGTTTGGTAGCTAGAAGTTTAGCTTCTTGGTAACAAAACCAAACCAAAATATACCCACCAAAACATATGCCCTGCTGATGTTGAGTTCCCCCATTTGTTGGTCATATAACTTCATTGATGCAACTTGTTTTGCTTGACTTTGTGATCTGAAACTTTAGAAAGTTTCAGATCTTTTTTAAAGTTAGTTAGTGAGTACTATTGGACAGGTGAAGCTCAGAGTGTGCATACCATACATCCTCAAATAATAATCAGGGCCTTCATTTCCTTCCACTGCAGAAAGTGCCAGGCTTTTATATGAAGTAGGCTTGTGTTTGAGGCAGTCTTTTATATATAATGATTGATATCGGAGGAGTATACAGGTACTTTTGACCCTGTAAAAGGAGGATATCGATAACGAAGGTCAAACACAACGCTTCCTCTGTAACAGATTCATAGAGAAGTATTTACAAATGCACAATATTTCCTTTAATATAGGATTACAATAACAAAGCCAATTTTACAATCAACATTTTTTAACCACACACATACACACATTATTCCCTCTTATTCTCTGTGTGGCGTCCCCACTAGTGGGGACCTAGGTCAACTATCTTCTTAAAAATGTACCTATATTAGCAGACTAAAACCTAGATATTCATTAATCACTGAACACTCACTCAACAAGTTTTAGAGAGCAAAACAGAACATCTTAGAAAAAATACTTCAAGGTTTGTGCATTCATTGTCATTTTTTGTCTCGTGAAAATGAGTGATAACATATCTTGGACACGGACCTCCACATTGGCAGCTTCGAAGATATTTTTGTACTCCTACTTCTACTACTACTACAAATACTAATTGATTTAAAGGCAGTTTCTTTAAAGGAATGTACATGGATTTCTATTTTTATTTTTGAGGTTATTAATATCTCATTTGATGCAGGCTTATTTTTAAAGTCTGTAAGTACACATCTGGTGCCCCTTGCGAGTATTTCTGGCAGTGAGGAAGTATTACGGATTGAGTTAAGATTAACAACTGTTCATTTGTTCATGTTTACAAATGTGATTCATTACAACAGCGTGGCTCAGTGAGATGTCTGAAATAGATCTTGGGCAACAATGGAGCACATTGGCACAGAGGATTAGGCTTGATCGGGGTTTTGAACACAAACAATATTTGTTCCTGGAATAAATCATTTTGTGTGTGTGTGTGTGTGTGTGTGTGTGTGTGTGTGTGTGTGTGTGTGTGTGTGTGTGTGTGTGTGTGTGTGTGTGTGTGTGTGTGTGCTGGTTAACTGGCTACAACATTTCTGGCTACTTATTATTTGTTTCTAATTGTAGTGTGTTGTCAGGTGACTCATTGTTCTATGTGCAGCTTGCAGTGATGCCAGGATTGTGTGTAAGGCCCATTGGCTGGCTCTGGCTTGCTAGAGATTGTGCCATGACTATTACCTTAATTACTGGCTTTATTTTCGGGGCTTGGAATAAACCACTGGCCATATTTCAAACTGTGTACAAATTTATTTGGAGAAAGAAAGAAACAAGCAGGCGGCAGAACAACAGAGCTTTCAACAAGTTTTTTTATTTTATTTTACAATACCTGTGAAATATTTCTCCTTTCTGGATGTAGATCTAACTCTGAACATTTTACAGAACCACAAAGAAACACGATATAAAAAGGAGAACCATTTAAAGAAAGTAAATACGTCGACAAACTGACCTATATTTAAAGGTTTCCCATCAACACACTCCCACTTCTTTTATGTGTGTTCAGGTTCAGCTAGGTGAATGGCTCAGGTTGTTGGCATGGCATTATCCCTCTTGGCCTTTTTCTCTAATGAGCTTAGCTAGACCCCGCCCACAGTCTGTGAGGTACTCTCTAAGATGTGATGCTGCATCTTGTGTAAATAAATTAGCAACATGTGCCAGCCTTAAGGGTCAAGTCAACAACACAGCTGCCAGCACACCTGGTTGTTAGAATACCTGACTTCAGAGTTTGAAAGGGTTGCAGGGTCTTGCATTACGCTTTTATTGACGACATAAAAAAGTGAATGGATCTGAGTATCTGAGAAGAAGTTACCATAAAAAAGATGCAGCCTCCTATGGATGTTAAATTAGTAGACTAAATCACCAAATATGCAGGTTGATCAAGGAATAATCTTGTGAATCATTTTTTATTGGCACTGATTACTTATTTATTACTCATCTTTTTCCTCAGCATATTTACATCCTCTCTCTGACATGTTTTTTTCCCTATACATCCCTCCATCTATCATCAGTTTCTGTTAACTCATTCCTGGCTCACAGCGGGTTGGAAATAAACTTTATCGCCTACCTGCCACTGTGACTGGTTGGTTCAGAAATATACCGGCAGTCACTCATTTTTTTTTACCTGCCACTTTATTTTAACCGGCAGCAAAATATAATTATGATGTATAATATCAGGTCAAGGCTTACAACATTCAAGTTTCTTTAATTTACTTTTATTTACCAGCCGCTGTGACTGGTAAGATGAGCAAATTCACCCGTCACTACAAAAAAACACCGGGTGACGGGGGCCAATTTCCAGTCCTGCTTCATATTCAATATTATTTTAGATCTAATAATAAAATACTAAGAATTTATATAACTATGCAGTATAAACTGCAGTAACTGCCCCTAAATATCCGGGAGAAATAAAACAACAGCAAAGTAAAAAAAAGATAAATTGATTTAAGAAGTATTTGAATTTGTTTTCAATTTAAATTTTAAATACTTCATTAATCCTGGGAAATGTTATGTTCATCTTATTCATATGGTTTGCAACCTGTCAGCTGACACTGTTTGCACAGGAGTATTGGATATATATATATATACAGTATATATATTTTTTTTACAATGTAGACTCGTCCACTTAGAAAAAAAAGCAGCAAATCACTTTCATCCCTGACTTTTAAAACCAGTTTTCTCAACATTTAAACCAATCAGAGGCTTATAGAGCTTTGTTAATAAAAATGTATAATAAGAATATTCTTGAGTAAGAAATAAGATCCCTTAAGAGACCACACAATGATGTCAATAAGTTTTTTTCTCTCAGCTGTGAGGATGTTTTAGGGATGTTTCCATAACTATCTGATTAGGTTTCAATAAATGTAGAAGTATATATACATGTTATTATCCGCCTCCTCTTTTAAAAAGGAAAGGCCGACTGACATTTTTGTGTGTTTCATCTGTGTGTCTAAATTGTGTTTTTGATGTATTTAACAGCCTTAAACACATTGAGCTGTGTTCCTTCGACTGAGGTTTTATCAGATACGTGATGATAATGCTTTAGTGTCTTAAAGCAGAACAGAACAAGAAGTCAATTTATATATTCATAGTACCATTTATAGTAAAATGAAGCAACATATAATCCACCTTTATGTCGATATATATGGCCACTTCTGGCATCAAAAGTACAACATGGTGACAGGCAAAATACTAAGCAATGTCTGAGGTTATTTTGTAATTTTTTAATATTGCTGTATTTAACTAAATCATTTAGTTTATCTCTTTCTCTGCCATGCTAATGTACACGTTGGCAACATTTATAGTGAAAATTAGAGTAATATGACCCTCCGTGAACAGTGCTGCTTAGTTTACATTAGTGCTGTTGTACAGCAGCATCTTAGTGGTGATCAGTGCATTTAACCCATTAGCTCTGTTAAGTTTTAAAGCCCATTACCACGCTGGCCTCTCAATCAACAACAACTTTATTCCCCTCACTACACTCCCGACTCCTTTTCGCTCTCATCCACTTCTGAACACCCTCTCTTCCCATTCACTCGTTTCTGTCTCTTAACCCCCCCCCCCCCCCGCCCCAACATTGCCTTCCTCCTTCCTTCGTTCATTGAAATGCGAGCGTGAGGAATGTGAGAGGAAGGATATCACATGTCCACGTTTGTCTTTTTGCATTCGGGGTTTCCGTAGCTCTCTACCTTCTCTGCCCTGACCAGGTGTTTTCTAACGCCTACCGCTTAATGATTTCTCAAGAAGATCAAGTCTCTGAGGGAGGTTTGTGGGGAATCACTTTAGTGAGTTTGACGCAAGTTCAGATCCTCCACGAGTAAAGACAAAACTCAAACTGCAAAGACAGGTTGCTGGTTGTAAGGCCTCGAAATGCTGGGTAAAAATGGCTGCAAAAAAAAAAGAAGGTTTCCACTGAGAATAAAAATGACATGAAAATACCCAAGTTCCAGAACTTTCTTGTTAGATATGAATGTGCTTTTCAGTCTAAGATCATCACATAACATAAAAAGAGCTTTGTTAATCTTGACACAAAGAACAAGTTGTGTTTTTATCTAATTTAATCATTGCTCATTTAAAAACCTTGCGTGATGATTCTTCACTTAGCTAAGGCACCATGTGACTTTTATCTCCCCAGATGCCTCAGGTTGTGGACAGCAGCTCAGAGGGGATCGACCTGCACTTCTGGGGCCGGGTTCTTAAGGCGGTGTCGGAGAGGATCCAAGTTGTAAGTGCACCAAAGTCCGTGTATCCCTTCTATTCCCCTCCCCGGTCCTGCGGGGATCAGAGGCTCCAGTATTTTTAGCCCTGCAGGAAACTCGCCTCTTCCTCTGCTCCCTGTTTGAGAATCCCTCACAGAGGAGGCTGAGTGACGGCTCAACAATGTGGGGTGTATATGGGTGTGTTAACAACCTGCACGTGTACTGTACATGTAGAGAGATGTAAGAGCATGCTCATGATATGTGTGTCCTGGTGTGTGCATGCACATACAGATGGTCTCACATGTCATGAGTTTGTATAGCTGTGAATGTGTCTGTGCATCAAAACGTACTGAACAAGTATCACATGCAAATCAGAACCAATGGATATGGAAATTGAATACACCTGGATTTTGTAAATATTGTAAAGGAATAGAAAAAAAAAAAAATTATCTGGAGCAGATAAATCCAAAAGATATTGAAGAAAAGTCAAGTTTCAATAGTGTTGTAGTCAAGGCAACACTAACTGAGACCAAGACATACCCGAGTCCAGAGTGCTCAGAGACGGACACAAGGCCGAGACATACTGTAGGTATCGAGACTAAGTCAAGACTAAGACCAAGGCAGGACGAGACCGAGACAAGTCCAAGACCATAAATATCAATGAAAACAAATAAAAAAGAGGAACAAAAAAAAGGGCAGAAAACCAGAGACAGAAGAGGAGGAGAACAGAACAAAGAAATGTACCACTTATTAAATAATAAAAGAAAGCATGATTAAATTGAATACATCTTCAATATATTAACATAATAAGAGACGACCTGCTTGTTGTCAACAGTTTAGAAACCTACATTAAATGTAAACACATTGAGACAGACTACAAGTGACGACAACGATAGCAGAGATTGGATTGTGTGTTTCAGCACGTTCACTCTGTGTCCCAGAGGACGATGTGTATCCCATCGTCACCTTAACCAGGGTGTAAGGGGGGAGAGAGAGAGAGAGACAGAGGGGGGTGGGCTGCCGATGCTGACATTCCTGCGAGGTGACATATCCTGTAGGTGGGACCTCCACATCACCGTGGTGACAGAAAGGCGAGCCAAATGCTCTCATAGCCCACATCTCCTTCCTTTCAGTGTCGTCAGTGTGCGTTTGTGTGAAATGCCAAATTAGAAAAGGGAGGAAAAGGATGTGAGAGTGAAAGAAATTAGGGGTGTGTTTAAGTGTAAGCATATATCCACACACAAAAAATGTTGGCTTTAAGGGGGGCGGGGTTGGGGGCATAGAAAAGTAATGAGTCACTTTTATCCCTGACCTTTTGAAACCATTTTGATTACCAGTTAAATACTCTCTACATTTTTATGTACAAACATTCCTGGTAGCACTCTCCCTAAAAATATGATCCATTACGTGATCATTTCCAGTTATTGATTTAAACAATTTGAAAACACACCAAGGGAAAATTCTCATTTACAGATGTTCTGAGGTACACACAACATTAAAATCATCAGAGAAAGCTAGGGGGTAGCAATAAGAAAGAAAACATTGATATAACGTGAATGTTTGTTATATTTAAGCTCTTGTAGGGAAGTTTTGGTTTGTGTTGATTTTGGTGCCCCCTGTGGACAGAGATGTACGTTTTTGCTTATCTCGTCCCGTACAAATGTAAGCAGTGTTTTTCCATGAAAAATCTCATCCTGCTTTTTATTAACAGTAAAACATATCACCCACTGTGACACTTTGCAGTGGAAAATGAAAACAATGTTGGTTTTGGCCGCAAACTGTAACTCGCTTTGTTCGACTCCTACCCAGCCTCAGTGGTTTAAAAGCTATAAGAATTACTTTATAGAATGAACAGTCTTGTCCTAGATGGTCTTGTGCGCTTTCATAGATTACAATAAGGCATCAGTGAAAATTTTAAATCAGTTTCATGAACAGCTAAAGGTTACTCACAGGAGCTTTAATGTTTAAAGGAGCAATATGTAACTCTGACACATGGTGTTTAAAATGGGTACTGCAGTCCAAATTCTAAACATTGTAGAGCGCTATCCCCTACAGCCCCCTCCTCCCCAGAGACAATGTGCACAAGGGTTACCATGTCACACAACAGCAACGTCAGTGTTTAGCCAGCTCTGCATCGTTCTTTAAACCTTTCTGCATTCTAACCTTGCTCCATTTTTCTAAAGCTATTTATTCTAGTTTGACCCTGTGTTTATTAGAAAAATGCTGAGGCTTCTTAGGTCGGGTAGAATCAGTTATATCTGAACCAGTTGGAGCAAAGTCATGCTACCTTAATGAGTGGAACAACTCAAGCATGGAAATCTTAAATCTTTCGCAGCCGCATTTGTCATTTTTCAGAAGGAAATCCAACAAACCCAGGGAGAAATGCACTTGGATCAAGCTATTTTGGTTCTCTCAATAGGAGGATATTTAGTCCATGTATCCTCAAGATGTGACGAGAGGCTTCCCTCCAACATGTTTGCTTATTCTTTAAACTATTGTTTTCCAGTGGTTGTTTATGTCAGGCGACTCACAGAATAAATGAATGTGAAGAACATAAATATCTCTGTCTGGGAAGAATTTTTGGAGAAAAAATTGAAATAGCTCAAAGCTGTTAATGAATACTTACAGCAACTCTTTTAAAAGCTCATGTGAGGAGTTCTGAACTGGTTATGAAAAGACTTAAATTAATAACAATTACTATTTATGAGCTAAGAAAAGCAAATGAAACAATAAACATAAGGAACATTAATTAATATTTTGCAATTAGAAATGTTTAATATCTGAAACTGCTGATGTGAGGTGGGTGGGATTAAGAACATGCTGCAGGAACAGCCTTCTTTCGAAGTTAAGATTTTCAATGAGTGAATCATTTAACCATTGAGCTAAAGCATGGAACATTTAAGGGTTAAAAAACACTACGTACACAGGAACAGGAAATCAGGAAGGAGATAAGAGTTACAAAACTGTCCACAGTGGGGCGCCACATTTGTTGCTCCATGCTAAAACAATACATTTGTTCAAAAGTGACTTTTTCTGTACTTTTTCTGATAAAGGTCCCACTCTTAAGTTTAAAGCTATTCCAATTAAGAAGCTTAGCATCATTATATTGGCTTAATTACAATTAAACTGTAAAGACTGTCTACAGATTATGAATCCTTAAGCCTTTGGTGTCCCTCTGACTTTTTTCTAGCACCTCCAGGAAAGTAGAATTTTTTTTGCATCCAGTTCTTTGACTAACAAATTCATGAGAACACGATGATATTACATTATCCTCAAATCTGACTGTGTATGTCTAATCTATACATTTTAAAACAATCAGCACGATAACACTGACAATTTGAGCATGTTAGCATGCTAGCATTAGTATTCTGTTTAAAGCCAAAAGAAGAAAAACAGCCTCCATGGGCTGCAAGCAAACAAGCCATCTAGCAACAGATACTTTCCAGAGAAATTCTTAAAGGTGGATGAAGAATCGTTTTTTATGTTGGTTCCGAAGATTGAAGAAGCACGATGACCACAGAGAACCTCCGTCTGTTTGTGATTTTTTTCAGCTGATGAATCGTGAGAGCTCTCAGGAGCTCCTGAAGACTGTTTCTTCACTGTTTCAAGACGGGGGTCCCACCTCGTTCGCCCAGCTGTTGTCCAGTGTGTCAAACCTCTTCTGTGGGTACCCAGAGGGAGGCGGGTCTAGAGTCCTGTCCTTCAACTGGTACGAGGACAACAACTACAAAGTGTTTCTGGGAGTCAATGGAACCAAGAGCCAAAGCTATGTCTATGACAACTCTGCAAGTAAGTTATGTGCCGTCGTTAAAGAAATTCACAGTTATATCGTCCACATTATGTGCTATGAAGCTTTGCATGTTCAAACTCTTGCACAGTGGCTATCTTGCAAAAAACAACAGCAGTATTTGGCAATGTCTTAATGTCTTTTCAGGTTAAACAGGGTGCAGGAGTTTGCTTGCAATTATTTTCAGTGTTACATTTAAATGCAAAAGAAAAATAATTGCTCTTAACACAAGTCTGACAACGTAATTAGCATCATAGTTAAGGATTTTGGGATGGTGCCTGGGTTGGCCAATCAGATTTCAAGGGGATGTGGGGGGGGGGTCACTCTTGGCCACCTCTCTGGAGAAGCCTCTGCATCTCAAAGTCTGAATATCTCCACCATAAAGCTGAAAGAGCACTGTGTCACCATATTAGAATACACTTATGTCATTCACAAGTGACCTGATAGAATCTGAATGTTCTCAGGGTCCAGAGTGAAGCTCTCTGTGAGTTCTGAGTCAGTCAATATGGTGCTCTATCTCTCATGCTTTATTATTTGTACTTTTCTATCCCCATTTTTCATTTTCTAACCTCACTGTTTTTGCAATATCTCCACCCTAAGCTCCGTTCTGCAACGCCCTGATGCAGACCATGGAGGCCAACCCGGTCACAAAGATTGTCTGGAATTCAGTCAAGCCCCTGCTGATGGGAAAGATCCTGTACACCCCCAACTCCCCTGCCGTCCACCAGATATTAAAGAGTGTAAGAGAGACCACCTCCAGCACGACCTCTCACCTCTCTCTCTCTCTCACTCTTCTCACTTTTTTCTCTCCTTTGCCAAATCTTTCACCTCTCTGTTTTTATTCTTCCTAACCCCCACACCTTCTGAGGAATGAGCTGACTACCAGAGCAAAGGAGGGCTGAGGGTTAAAGGGGCAATCTACAGTGTGAGGGAAAGAAAAAAAAATCAAACAATAAAATGAATGTGAGGGTGCAGCAGTGAAGGAGTCTGTCAGAGTCTGGTTACATCCATTTCAATGCTGTAAACCCACACTATTGATGGAAACAGAAAGAGATTCCACAAATAATCACTTTCCAAAAGAGCTTTAAGTCAGTCAAGCTGCTGGTGTAATTTGTGAGTGTTTCTTTCCATGAAATGTTTATTTAAGTTTGTGTTCATGCTTTGCAGGCCAACACAACATTTGAAGAGCTAGAGAGGCTGCAGAACATGGCCAAGGCCTGGGAGGAGTTGGGGCCTCAGCTGTGGGCTTTCTTCCAGAACAGCGTCCAGATGAACATGATCAGGGTACGAATGGTGCTAATACACACATGATGCTCACACTCTCATACCTGTGAACAAATCTGAGCCCTTTATTGATCCTGTTGCACTTCTAAATCCATGAAAACTGTCAACATCTGTACATCTGGAAACATTTATACAGAATATAAGAGAATATGTGATAACCCTTCATGAATCCCCAGAGAGGAAATGAAGGTGTTGCAGAAGCACAAAGAAAAAAAGGAAATAAAAGCAAGAATTGATTTTTGGAAATTTAAACAATAGGTATTTACACCTGGTTACAAGCAGGGGTAAAATATGAGAGAGGAAGTGATGATTTATTACATAAAGTGACAGGTTATAATTAAAAGCTGTGAGTTATGTACACAGAAGTGAGCAAAAAGTAAGAAGTGTCAGTTATGGGATGAATACAAATACAATTAAAAATATGAAAAAGAAATGTAATAGCATTTGACATGGAAGATGATAATGGACAAAACATCAACACGACATGCCTGTGTGACAAGCAACTCACAGTGAGCGGAGGTACACACATAGATCCATGACATGGTTTTAAATGAAAACTGAAGACACAAATAAACTGGACTTTGAGTATAGAAAACGTATTCCTCGTTATTTCACATCTTTATGAGCCTTCAGCCCAAAAAGAAGAAACCTTTGTCGCTCCTCATTTTAAAGACAGCAAATCAAAAAATCCAGGTCTCTGTATGTTTCAGTATGTATGTAATACTTTAAAGGACATTGAGTGTGCTGACGTATCTGTTTTCTTTGTAAACTTTTTTTGCAGTTGTGCAGCTGAAGTGTTATTACTGTTTGAGTGTTCTTCTTTGTTTTTTTGTTTTTTTTTGCTGTTTTCCGCTGTTTGTATTAACCATGATTTATGACATGACACATTCACACACTGATGGCACAGGAAGCTATGCATAGTGCATATCAGCGTGAACTAATCCCATTCATACACATTCACGCAGGGCTAGTTATGCCACTTGGGAGTGTTTTGAGGTTCAGTTTCTTGGCCGAGGACACTTAAAGATTGCAGGAGCTGGGATTGAACCTCCAAACTAACAATTAAAAGATGACTAACTCTGCATTTCATTTCCAGAAAGCATCTTCTGTTTATGACTTGAAACCTAAAGTTGTAAGTCAGTCGTCTGTGCTGCACCCTAAAGGGAATTTGTTTTTGCACGTGTTACATGTCTCATAAATCTGTCTGGATCCCTTCAGGACACCCTGAGAAACCCCACGGTGAAGAACTTTGTGGACAACAGTCTGCAGGACACTGACTTCACCACCAAAGACATTTTGAACTTTCTGTACAACGGTCCAGAGGATTGGCGGGAGCCAGGCATGCGCAACTTTGACTGGAGGACAATTTTTAACACAACTGACCAGATCATACGCATGTTCAACAAGTATGGAGAGGTAAGAAACACAAACGTGTCTGTCTGTTTGCTGCTTTTCCTGCCCTGAGAACATTTCCCCCTCAATTGATGCAGAATTCAGCTTTGTTTTCCACTGTTTTCACTTTTGCCCCTGTCACCTTTTTTGCCAAGTGTTGCCCATTCCCAGACATAGTGTTAGGACTGACTCTCAGCTCTGCAGACAGGTGCATCAGTCTTCCTGCTCTGCTCCCAGGAGATTGCAGCCAGGCCCCTTTGAAACAGATCAGACCACTTAGCACAGCTATAGAGCCGCTCTCCCGTCCAGCATGCTGAAAGGTGGGGAGAACAAGCCTCCTGTCACCCCTCTCCTGTGCCTCCTTTGTGGAGCCGGTGATAAAGTGGAGAGTAGGTGGGAGAGAATCTACCCCCCACATGAGCTCAATGCTGTTTTAGTGTATGACCCGGCGTTGAAACAGACCCTTGTAGCAGCAAAATAAAAGAGGGGCAAATCGCTCTATCCGTCCTTCACGCCTTCCCTCTCCTCTCGTCTGATTTGAGGGGGCAGGGGGTAGTGGTTCTGATGGGAGCCCTATCAGTGCAGGGCGTCTCAATCTGCCCTTTGTCTCCAGGTCCAGCATCGGGACCCTCAAGAGCCCCGCAAACAAACCCCCGCAGTTTAGCCAATTAGATATAGCTGTCATCTAGCATTAGCAGTTGGATAACTGCTGCAGTTAGCATCAGGTCCCCTCACTCTGTCAGGGGGGATGTTTCTCACACTGATACCCCTTTTTAGAACATGTGTATGAGTGAGGGTCTTTCTTCTCAGCCCATCTCAGGGAGAACATTATTGTGCTTTGGATGTATGGCCCTGTAAAGATGAATGGGAAGTGCTCTCTCGTCTCTCTTTGAGTGCTCTCAGGGCATTGTACAGTAAAGTGAATGGAGACATTAGACACGCATACAGAGGGGTTAGAGAGCAGTGTATTTGTGTGTGTGTGTGTGTTTTTGTGTGTGTGGGAAGGGAGTTTCACATGGTAATTACATGTGTTTCCTGGAAAGAGAAAGCTTATGTGTGCATGTGATAGTGCGAGCTTCTGAAGCTATTGTTTGTGTGGAGGTGTGTGTTCATGACTCGTGTGTGTTTCTGCACTCATGGGTATGCATTTGCTCTCCTTTGAGTGTGTGTGTGTGTGTGTGTGTGTGTGTGTGTGTGTGTGTGTGTGTGTTTGTTTCTTTCTACAACTTGAAAGATATTACTAATTAATAAGACGTTCTCATGTCACAAGAACTCTTTAGTGAAAGATATTTCTGTTAAGAGATAATAGAGACTACATAATTACCCACAATGCACTGGGCGGCGTACCATCTCAAAATGATCGATTACCAGTATGAAACCTTTGTTGAGATTCAGACCTAAAACAGATTTTTTCATACCAAAGTTTGATGAATACTATAATCTTATGTATCAACCTAAACATATATTAATACCATAAGCCCTTTTCACACATGCTCTAAACTCCTGAAAACTTTTCCCGATGAGCTGCATGTGTGAACCAAAACGACCAGATTTTTTCTAAACCCTTACTTAGCTGGACTTTTTCCTGGTAGCCCTCTAACAGAATTTCTGCTAAAAGTCATGGTGAGCTGATGTGTGAACACAGCAGGAAGTATTCAGGTGGTGATGACGTTTCTAACCCGGAGTTGCTCAGTGCTGTGCTCATGATGGATTAATGTTGGGTCTTTGTAAATAATATAAGAAAGAGTGAAGTCTAGACCTGCTGTTTTTTTTGTAAAGTGTCTGGAGGTTAACATTTGTTATGACTTGGTGCTTTACAATAAAGATTGATTGATTGATAATAATTGAATAAATGTGGGAAAATGATTCATGTGTACATGGGCAACGATAGAAAATTGCAAAGGCAGGTTGTCCAGAAATCATCTTGAATTTATTTAGGAGTAGATGTGTGAAAGGGGCTATAGTGTGTCAAAAAAAAGTGTGATGTGGAAAGATTATTTTAATGTCTTTCTACATTTTAAAAGTCTCCTTCTGTATAGTTGTTCGCCGTATGTGTGGTTTGTTCTTTGTGTGCTGTCATTCATGTGAGCTGTGTACACACTGGTTCTTATTGACACAACTGAAGTTCATAGAGATAAATACAGTTGGTTGAATCTGGCCAAGAATTTGGTACGATCCCGCTTGTAAGAGTTGCTACACACACATTCTGGTCCGGACAATATCAAGGGTTAATTCCCAGCTCTATATATAGCAAATGCCTCTTACTACTAATCCAATGCTTAATTCAATAAGACCTGGATATGCACTTACATATACACACACACACACAAGCACGCACGCACGCACGCACGCACGCACGCACGCACGCACGCACGCACGCACGCACGCACGCACGCACGCACACACACACACACACGTAAAACCCATGACACTGTTTTTCTCCTCTGATTTTTAGTGCATCAATCTGGATAAGTTTGTGCCTTTCACCGATGAGTCCCAGATGATCCATCAGGCCTTGCACCTGCTGGAGAAGAACAAGTTTTGGGCCGGGGTGGTCTTCATGGACACGTATCCCTGGACCACAAGTGTTCCCTCGCATGTCAAGTACAAGATCCGCATGGACATCGACGCGGTGGAGCGGACCAACAAGATCAGAGACAGGTCAGCAGATACAGATGTGTGGATTTAGAGATGAGGGCTACCCACCCCTTTTTTTTTTTTTTTTTACTGGAGACCGTTTAAAATAAAGTACATTATATTATAAGTCATAATTTTATAGTTGTATGAGTCTATGATAGTTTGGGAGTTTCCATACAAGCATGAAGCTCCAGTGTTGAAAAATGAACAACAAACCAACACATTTATACAGCCTGGTTCTAAAATGTTTTTTGTTTTTGTAACTTATTTCTTTATTGGTTTGAACTGTTCAGGTAGTGACGTTGTTTATTATCCATCCATTTTCATTATATTATGGCTAGTTAGGGATACATTGCATAATAAGGGGCTTTCAGCTGGGCATGTTATAGTTGTTTGTACGGAGACTCAAAGGCCACCTCAGCTCCATCTCAGCCTAGGTTGATCAAAGCCATGTTAGTTATAGATAACATTTCCAATATGGCCTCCGCCATCACTGGGCTTCATAACACCTTTTCAGAATCTAATCGGTGACGTCACTCAGACTAGTCTAAACTATTGTTTATCTCACTTGTTTTTACATTCTCACCTCAGAGTTGGTGAGACAGCTGTTTAAGACTGCAAAAGGTGCAACACATAGTTCAAAAGGTCAAAAGCCATGAACTGGGTAGGAGAGAACGAGAGATTTACGTCTTTATTGCTTTTTGCAAATTTTTTGACCAACCAATTTTTCCAAACCATTGAAAATGGGAAATTTGCCACCAAAAATGTGTGGTTCAAATATCTTTTATGCCAAGGAAAAACAAGCTAAGTAAAATCAGTAAAATACATTTTACTAACATTGGACTGAATTCAACCAGTAAGGTTTGTACAACCAATTCACCTGAATACATGTTGGTTCTAAGTACCATTTTAATGAGGCTTTTAATGACAGCAGGCTGTAATGGACCCAGTGGGAGTCCGGCCGCTATACCATTGAGTAATCAGACTGTAAGAGGGCTTTGCCTCCGACTTATCTGCTTAAGTAAAAGCAGTGTACATGTTGTGTATGTGTGTATGTGTGTGTGTGTGTGTGTGTGTGTGTGTGTGTGTATGTGTGTGTGAGAGAGAGAATTTGGCTTTGGGATGTTCTGTTGTTACAATGTTGTGAATGGAGACTGTGTGATTGGGATTAACTCCTGCAACAAAAAAACATGAAAAAACAAAGAAGTTTGTCTGGTTGGGATATTTAAAACCTATGAACCACTTCCCTCTCAGGTATTGGGACCCCGGCCCCAGAGCAGACCCCATGGAGGACCAGAGGTACATCTGGGGGGGCTTTGCCTACCTGCAGGACATGATTGAACATGGCATCATCAAGCTTCACACAGGAAACGACTGGCCACTCGGGGTCTACGTCCAGCAGATGCCATACCCGTGCTATGTAGATGACCTGTAAGTACCGCCACAGGGCCTTAAAGGGTCCAAGCCATTTCTATGAGGCGGGCCCGTAGTTCAGTTTTCTCTCTGAAACTGGTACAAAAAAAAATGTTCCAACAGGTGATCAAAGAGAGATCACCCATCTGTTTAATAAGGTGTCCACAACCGTCCTCTCTCTCTTCACTCCTCTCTTGACCTCCAGATTTATGATCACGCTGAACCGCTGCTTCCCCTTGTTCATGGTGCTGGCTTGGATCTACTCTGTGTCCATGACTGTGAAGAGCATCGTGCTGGAGAAAGAGATGCGCCTTAAGGAGACTCTCAAAGCCATGGGCGTCCACAACGGAGTCATCTGGTACACGTGTTTCATCGACAGCTTCATTATGATGACCGCAAGCACGGCACTGCTCACCACTATCATCATGGTGAGAGGACAGGGGGAGTGTGATAGAGAGGGTGTATGACGGTAGACAGACTGGGGGTCAAGGTTGTTTATTAATTGATTTAGTTTTTTCAACTTTTCTTTCAACAAGAAGGTCCCAATGAGATTTAAAAAAAAACTTTTTTACAAGAGAGACCTGTTCAAAGGGTCAGGTCTAAATATATATATTTTAAAGGTATTTAGATCCTATGTGTGAAGAAAAAAACACACCCTAAATCAACCAGGACAGATTTGTGCTAAAATATTGAAGAATCCAGAATCTAAAAATAACAACATTTTTTTTCATCAATTGTTTGTTTATATGTCTTATTTATGTCTTATTTGTATTTCCTATATGTCTTCATGCAATAGTCAGTACAAGAGCAACTGCAACACCTGAAAAAAACAAAAACATTTTGTTTTCTGAGTAAAGGGTCAAAATTTACTAGTGGGAAATGGCGCACTCTTGTGGATAATACTTTTTAAAAGTATCTGTTCTATGGCGATAAAACCCCACAATATATACTTTGTTTTTCTCCCCAGGGTGGAAAGGTGCTAAATTACAGCAACCCCCTCCTCGTCTTCTTCTTCCTGCTGACGTTCACTGTCACCACCATCATGCAGTGTTTCCTGATGAGTGTTTTCTTCAACAAGGCAAACCTGGCAGCTGCCTGCAGCGGCATCATCTACTTCACACTCTATCTGCCACACATACTCTGCTTCGCTTGGCAGGACCGCATCACCAAGAACATGAAACTAGCAGCTGTATGTCTATTTCTGTGTTGTTGTCTTTTTTAATATTATTTTCAATTAATATAACAGAGAGCAGCGATTCAGGCAGCAGATGATCAAATACTCATTTACACTTTTCTTATTCTGTCAAATGATTAATTTCTCCCCCCCTGCTTCTCTAGAGCTTGTTGTCTCCTGTGGCCTTTGGCTTTGGGACGGAGTACCTGTCGCGCTATGAGGAGCAGGGTTTAGGTCTGCAGTGGAACAACATCCGGACCAGCCCGTTAGAGAAAGACAAATACTCCTTCCTCACCTCCATCCTCATGATGGTGTTCGATGCTGTCCTCTACGCCTTCCTGGCCTGGTATCTGGATAATGTCTTCCCAGGTTGGGCTGCTGACTCACTCCTGGACTTTAATTTGACCCCTTTATAGGCATTAAAAAACTCATTACTCTGTGGATTCTGTACATTTGTTATTCACAGGACAGTACGGCATTGGTCGACCATTTTATTTCCCATTCCAGCCCTCTTACTGGCAAAGTGCTGCATCTTCACACTCAGAAACAGCTGAGCAAGGTAAGTATCTCTCACCTTATTTTAGTACCTAAGAACTAATCACTTGCAGGAAGATTGTGGTCTTAATGGGAATTTCAGTATAGAAGAGTCAAGTCAGGACCCCAGATGATAGAAGTGCTCTCTCTAGCCTTCCTGGAGCAGGACGTTAGTTTTTATATTGGTAAATGCAGTTTAGGAGGACCAGAAAACAGGGTCTGAAATGAAAATGGACAAAATCAACCCCTAACTGCTGCTCTAGATCTTCAATACAAAATAATCATTTTTATCATCTTTTACAAGCCTCTTATAGCAGAAGGTGAAACCAAAAGCAAATTCATATTAACATTTAAATAAGGATTGTATGCACCTGCAAAAAAAAGGATTCTATCTGCAGGTTGAGATTTCAAATCCCAACCAGGAAATGCAATCTACAATGTTTTCTCCTTTAGATCCTGACAAACCTGAAGCAAACAACGTGGAGAAGGATGTAGAGAGCACGGGCACGCCAGAGATGTACTGTAACGGTTCAGCAAGCAAGAAAGCCTGTAAGCACCAGAGTAAGAGGGAGCGGCTGGAGAGGGAGAAGGAGATGCTGAGAAAACAAGAGGAGACTGCAAATCAGGAGGAGGAGGGACAGGAGGAGGGGACTGAAGGTGAGGACACTAAAGAGGGACTGACTGGAGATGGGAGAGTGACACTGAACTGCCATTTAGGGAACACACCGAGGACATCTGGTGGACAGGGCAGGGAAACACACCCTACCTGAACCCACATAGAAATGAGACTAGGGAATTACAATCCTCCATTTTTATGAGGATTAGTGTAACTGGTAGGTATTGCTTAGAGTAAAACTGTAAAGTTAAAGTTACATATTCTGCTGCTCATTAAACTGGTTTGAAAGTGAACCATTAACCCAATATGAGTTTACGTTGTACTGAAAAACTTTTTTTTACTCTTTTAAAAGGGGTCATAAAAATAAAATGAGAACCTTACAAAATAAAAACGATTAAAATATTGAATCAAAATCCCACTCGGATGTACAGAAGACAAAGAATGTATACGTTAACACATTATTAGTTTATATTACCAATAAATATGTACCTGTATACAGAAGTGTTCCAACATGTTTACCTGCATGATTGATTATATTGTCATTGTCGTACACAGTCATGAAGTTTCTTCTAATAATAATTATTTTAAGAATATGATATTCAGATTTTGTTTCGTACTCTTACCTCTTAAAGTGGTTGAAAAAAACGTTTTAAACATTATGGCCGAGTAACATAAATCACATCTGTTTTTTTTTTCATTCTTATAGGTCAGTTGTTCTTTGAAGCTGACCCGGTGGGCCTGGTCCTGGGGGTGGAGATTCAGAACCTGGTGAAGGTGTTTGATGGAAGTTCTCGTCCAGCCGTCAATGGTCTCAACATCAACTTTTATGAAAGCCAGATCACATCCTTTCTGGGACACAATGGCGCTGGGAAAACCACCACTATGTAAGCTGAAGTCCGAAATCTCAGTAACCAAATATGGAAACGAGAGTAATTCAATCAGAAAGAAACTGTTTAGGTTGTCCAAACAAGTTTAAAATATAAAGATTTCTGCAGCTTCCAGGGTTTGATGGTTTATAAAACATTTGTACCAAGTTTTAATAATTTGAAAAACTCGTTGATTTAGTAGCCTCTCTGAAAAAGAGGTTGTTTAAGCAATATTTCTCCATTTAAACCTGACAGCCAACTCCTTTCAATCTGACTGTTTTTCTAAGAGACAATATTTCACACATCCAGACCACCCTACTGTGATTCCTAAAAAGGTCCAAATGTAAAGTTTGCAAATCCCCTGAGAAATAGTTTCTGCTCTTTCCAGGTCCATCCTGACCGGCATGTTCCCTCCCACATCTGGCACGGCATACATTAACGGAAGAGACATCCGAACAGACATGGACACCATCCGCTCATCTCTGGGGATGTGTCCTCAGTACAACATCCTCTTTAAACAGTGAGTTGCATTACTGACGCTGCTGACTGCACTGGCATCAAGAGTAAAAAAGAGCATTGTAAGAAATGATACATTATATTTTAAGAAAATCTAAAATCCCTTGTTGAATAATTTTTCTATGAATGAGGGAAAGTTAAAGCCCCCGTGTGTAGTTTTGAGCAGGAAATGAAACAAACTGAAATCAATCATGATGCTTCGTTATAACCTACAGAAACAAAGAAGGCCATCAGCATCAACATATATTATTTCCATACAGTTACTTTTAACACCTGTAAACACTGGCACTGGGTAGGTGTCAGAAAACGTCATTAACAGCACAATGCAAAAAAAGGTTGATTTTTTTCATGGCAAATATTCCTAGTGAGTGATATGTTTGATTGAAAAAGAAAGCAGGGTGACATTTTCTTGAGAAAAAAAATAAAGCAACAAAAAAGATAAAAGGCACAGCTTTGCCCGCAGGGGGCACCAAAATCAACACAAACTAAAATGTCCTCACAGGAGCTTTAATAATGAGTAGCAGTGTGTTTCAGTCAATGCACAATCTCAAACTGAGACTTTGACAATATTTGGTGGAAGCCACCATTACAGATTTACCTCCCAATGCACTTTTTAAAACTGTTGCCCTGTTTTCCTTTTAGTCTCACAGTGGAGGAGCACATCCTGTTCTATTCACTGCTAAAAGGTCGGACTCAGGAAGAGGCGGAGAGGGAGGTGGAGGACATGCTGGTCGACCTCGGGCTGCCTCACAAGAGGGATGACGAGGCTCAGAATCTCTCAGGTGGACCACTTGTTTCCTAACATTTGTTCAAGAGAGCACAAAAGGTCAAATGTCCTTCTTGTATTATTGTTTCTGCTCTGAGCTGTTCCCCTCTATCACACGCTCTACAGGGGGCATGCAGAGGAAACTGTCAGTCGCCATGGCGTTTGTAGGCGGGTCAAAAGTTGTGATCCTGGACGAACCCACTTCTGGAGTTGACCCTTACTCCAGAAGATCCATCTGGGATCTCCTGCTTAAATACAGAGCTGGTAAAAGACCTCTTTAACTCATCCGGTTGCACGTTTGAGCCCTGCTGGTCAACATTTTAACCCCCTTCCCATCTACATTGAACCCACATCAATACAGCTCACACCTCAGATCAACTTCTTACTGCTGCTACACTAAAGGCACTGAAGAGTACAAACAACTCCTTCACAGCTTTCCGCCTTCCTGAGGCGCTTGAATTAAGTAGTGAAGTGATCAAAAGGAAAAATTCAGCTACACAGCTACAACAAGAGCTACACTTGCAGTCACAAATTCAACAGCTTGTTGAAAAAAAAAACACTTGAAATGTCAAACTTTTATGTCCACGTAGAAGTGGCTGAGATATTCTTTCTATAACATGAAATGTCAGTATAAGACACCTTATTCAGAGTGGGACTCTCTCGCAGGCCGGACAGTGATTCTGTCGACTCATCACATGGACGAGGCCGACCTGCTGAGCGACCGCATCGCCATCATCTCCAAAGGACAACTCCACTGCTGCGGATCCCCCCTCTTCCTCAAAAACTGCTTCGGTGTTGGTTTCTATTTGACTCTTGTGCGCCGGATGAAGGATCTCAAGAAGAGGGAGGCAAGTTTTTTTTTCTTTTTTTTTTTTACATTCAACACAAAGTCATCCAGAAACCCAGCAGCACGCTGTGTCGTCTCCACCCCGTCTGTTTATCCCTCATAATCAAACAAGAGAGACACAAAAAGAGAATATCTGATTTTCTTCCATTAAAGGTTGAGTTTTTTCCCGGCAGGAGTTTTGAATTTTGTTCAAGGTGTTCTTTCCTTTGCGGTTTTCTTTCAGAACGACTGTGACTGTGCCTCAGACTGCTCCTGTTCCTGCTCCATCTGCACCAGATACAAAGATCAGTCTCAGTACCAGTCCCAGCACCTAGACAGAGTCATGGATGGTAAGAGGATACTGTATGTTTGTATTGTTCTGCTAATGCATACTCATGAGCTGCACACCTGTGGTGACTGCAGCGATAATGACTCTCTTTGTCTCAGTGTGTCACTACACCCTGAGTTGTCGTTTCAAGCCCTATGAATTAAAGGCCTTCTACTTTTCAAAACCATCCTGTGTGCCTGAACCTGGATAATTTATACCAATGTTTTATGGTTTTAAGTTTCCCTTCACTTTTTCTTTTTTAAGTATTCCCTTCCATGAGCACTTGTGGTTTGAGGGAAACAGAAGTGCTCCTGTTTTCTCTATTTTTCACAAGCATTTGAAAAGTTGTTTTCCATTCCTCTTGACGATGGAAGCTTGTTTTTTCTGCCTCATGATGTAATTATTTTAGCATACGTAGGACCTGTTAATTACAAGTAATTCACAAGACAATTGGTTTCTCTTTCGGCTTCATAGCACTGAAGTTATACAGAGTGAATAATATTAACCAGTGTAACTTTGTTCTGATTCAAACAGACACAGAGACAGAACTCACTGTTGTTTCACATTTATAATTTGACCCATGTGGCTTTCCCTCTTATTTCTGCCTGAGGACACCTTAGATGTAACGAGCCTAGCACAAATTAACTGCGTTTTAGAGCTGGAATAAAAGTGTTTGTTTTGTGTTTTAGGCATAATTAGCACTTTTCCTTTCCTTTGTCTTATTCATGAGTTTCTGCTATTTTTGGGGGAATAGAAGAAACTCCCCAGGAATGATGGTTTTCTGTGTTCTTCTCAGGGGATATAGACAGCATCAGTAGCCTCATCCACCACCACGTCCCGGAAGCCAAATTGATCGAGACAATTGGTCAGGAGCTGACCTACTTGCTCCCCAACAAGGGCTTCAAACATCGAGCGTACGCCAGCCTGTTCAGGGAGCTGGAGGAGACGCTCACTGACATGGGCCTCAGCAGCTTCGGCATCTCTGATACTTCACTTGAAGAGGTGATGACGTGGCCTATACCCTTTGTGACTGGGGCGCTTTCTTATTTAGAGGGTGCCATGAAGTATATGTAACACAACAGAGTGACGACATATATGACCTGTTAGTTTAATAATCTAAGGACAAAGCAATAAAAAAAAGTATGTTCAAAGTCGGATTTTTGGACGGCACGTCTGGTGGCCATTCAGCTTTTCAGGGGGGGGCCAATGCCACTGCGGACAATCACTCTGGATCTGCCCCAATAATATTTGTTCCACTTAAATCCAAAGCTAAGTAAAGCTCAGTAAAAAAATCCAAAAGCTGAGTAAAAAAGAAAGCTCAAATGCAACAAAAACATTTGTATTTTTTTTTTTTTATCTCCGAAAATAAATATATTTCTGATTCAGGATAAATGTTTTTTTTTTAACCTACAGTTTCCTAATTTTTTTATTTGATGACCCTATTACCTTGAACCTTACTCAACCTGTTTCCAATGCGGATCCATTTAGATATTTGTAGGCTGGGCAAAGGCACAACACTCTTACTGAATCAACTCAAACGCAAAATAAAAGAGCAGAGTACTAAGATTAAATCTAGAAATACTTCAAATTTTGCAAAAGTTTGGAGTGTTTTTTAAGTTGTCTTAGAAAAACAAAATAAAATGTATTGTCAGAAATGGACGTTTTAAGGTGTAATCATAAGAACTGTGTTGGCAGTATTTTTCATTTCTACATTTGAATACATTTCTGGTTATGTTTTTTTTAAATACATTTTTTAACAGAACATGAAGATTATACAGCATCTGAATTTAAGGAGAGAAAAGTTTTTATCAGTCATCAGAACTTTTTTCTTCTTTGCAGATCTTCATAAAGGTCACAGCAGACGGAGAAGCAGCGAGTCATGCCATCACTCCTGGTAAATACCACCACTGGTATTTAACATGGCCTTTTCCTGGGATTGAATTTTTGACCCTTTGACCTTTCTCTGTAACGTGTCGTTAATCCCTTTTGCCTTACACCTGTTCTGATTAAGTTGTTGTAGCGGTAAATCCTTTACCTCTCTTCCCTCACTCCAACATTATCTACCTGTCTCCTCATTTTGTGCCTTGTGGTGGTGTATCATTTTCTGTTTTAACCCTGTAGTTTGTGTGTGTGTGTTTTGTGTCTCACTTGTTTGCTCCCATCTGTAGAGCAGTGGATGTTGAAGCGAAGAAAAAAAAGCAACATGGTTGGTGATGAAGGTCAGAGACAGATTATTAGGCTTTTTGGATTGAGTCTAAATGTCTTTGGCCAATCATTAATGTAAGAACTTTTGGTACTGTTTGTACCGCAACCTTCTTGATATAAAAATCTTTCTTATCTTATCGTTTCATATCTCATTTCAGTATATCGTATTTGTGTCAGATTGCATCATACGGTACCGTATCGCATCATACCATAACACATCATATCGTATCGTATCGTATAGCATCGCATCGCATCGTATCATACCATATCATATCATACCATATCATATCATACCGTATTGTGTCATATCATATCAATTTATATAATATATTAAAACATATTGTATGGTAACCCATCATATTGAATGTTATCGAATCGTATCAAATCGTTTCATTTCGTCAGTCCTTATCTTATCTCATCTTATTTTGTCTTATAGTACGGTATGGTATCATATCACACTATACCGTACCAGATCGCATTTCATTGCATGGCATTGATTTATTTTATCCTATGGTATCTTATCTTAAGGTTACTTTTTTGACCTGTCTGGACAGGTTTAACACATCCACAGAAAATCCATCCTATGAGTTATCATCACAGAGCACAACAGTTTCTGACATTTCTGTGTCAAATTTTACATCTCCACAGATGTTTATATGAGCCACAATTTAGAGCAGATGCTCTAATTGTGCCGTTAAGATTCAAAGGGATTCTTTTATTAGCGTTTATTCTTAGTCTTTTTTTTAGAAAGTGTTTTCTGCTTGCTTGCTCTTCTCTTGCCAAGCATTGCTTCATAATGAAATGATTAATTTACATACATCTAATGTAGCTGCATGAATAGAACAAAATCAGAATCTTCAGATAAGTTTGGTGCCTTGCTCGAGGGGATCTAAGCAGCTGATCCCAAGCCTGCTACTCCAATCTGCTACCACTGCCTCTGTGAGCATGATACTTTGTCTAGTTCTGAAAGTCTGTTTTCTTGTTGATCACAGAACATAATGGTGCTATCAAGGCCAATGGCACTACTGTTGATGCATCAGACAGCAGTGCAGGACGGGGCTCCAGGCAGGTGAAAGGGTTCCCTCTGACCCTGAAGCAGTTCCATGCGTTGCTTGTGAAAAGGTTTCACCACGCCACAAGAAGCAAGAAAGACTTCCTGGCACAGGTACAGAAATATTTGGATGAGCAGCATTTATAATAATAATCTGCTTTTCTCAGGAGATGAGTGCATGTCAATAAAAGGGTCATTATATAAAGTAGCAGTGTGTTTTTCACACTTCAAGTCAAATGAGGAGAAAATCATCCATCTTGAAACTAATGTGTGAGTTTTATTCTCTGATCTGTTTTTTTTGGGGGGGATTTCAGATCGTCCTGCCTGCCAGTTTTGTCCTCATAGCTCTGATCTTCACCAAGATTGTCCCTCCATTTGGAGAGTACCCAAGTCTGACTCTGACCCCCTGGATGTACGGACAGCAGTTCACTTTCTTCAGGTCAGAGTTGTCTCAAAGGAATCTCATAATGGCAGTTCTGGTGGCCTAGTTATTAGTTTGCGCACCCTATGTAGAGGCTATTAAGTCCTCTTAGCGGGCGGACTGGGTTCAAATCCACCCTTTCTCGCATGTCATTCCCCATTCTCTCTTTCTCTCCCTGATTCAGACTCTATCCGCTGTCTAGCTCTTCAATTAAGACATAAAGAGCCACAAAATAAAACTAGAAAATAAGAAAAAATTAAATATTGGCTCTCTATCACATACCACCAACTTTTCTCTTTTTTCAATAACTGAAACATTACCATCAAAGATATAATTTGGTTTATGCCAGTTCAGTTGTACTTTCCTTCTTGACTGTGATGTCTATCTGTCCTCAGGCGTACAGAAATACTACAAAGAAAGCTTGATTTTTATTATTCCTTTGTATTTTCTCGTCCTTGTTTAGTAACGAGCAACCGTTTGACCCCAAAATGAAACGCTTCACAGAGCGCTTACTGAACAGACCGGGCCTGGGGACACGCTGCATGGAGGGGGAACCACTTGGGTAAGTATCAGGACTGTTGATTGGACAGGATAGGGACATTACATGACTACACAATGGTATATACACTGTGTATATGAAGTTCTGTGAGAGGGTGTGATCGGTGGTGAGCAGTGGTGATTCTAGAGTGTCTGTGGGCCCTAGGCGAAAATCAATGGGGGAGCCATCCAACCAGCGTTCATCACCATCATGCCTGGAGTGTCATGATGATAACTCCTCTTCCTCTTTTTTCTCTCCTATACACTGATAATTCCTCTTCATTTTTATATGTTGACCTTCATTGGCAAACTTTGGTCTTCACAGCAATAATGCATGCAATGTGAGCGCCGTCAGATGGCACCCCCTAAGGGAGGTTTCCTACTGTCGCTGCAAAAAAATGCACATTTTGGGTCCCTGCTTTGGTTTAAGTTTGCGAGCCCTCAGGTGCCCCCCTACTGGTCTGGTTCCCCCTGTTGCCTGCTTTGCCTGTTGACAAGCAGCGCCTCTGGTGGTGAGCACTATCATGGAGGGGGTTGGCTCTTGGATGCCTGAATTAATTATTGAGCCTTATCGAGGGGTTGTGGCCTAACTTGACGATGCACCTGTGAAGGGGGTTGCCCAATTTATACCTCAGAGAAACCATGTGGGTAGAGAAAGTAGAATCTGCACTGTCAATACCTGGCTCTCTACATAAACAGAGTCTGGGTCTGTTAAAGTTGGTATTAAAGCCTCACAATACAAAATAAATGAAAATGCAACATTACGGTTAAAGCATCCTGTCCCCTCTCACTGCTCATCATACTGTCATTCTCTTCTTCTCTTCCCATAGAATGACGTGTAGTAACAGCACCTCACAGTGGGAGGACCCTGACGTCTCCCCCGTAGTCAGCGACATCTTACAGAGTCCAGAGTGGAACAAGAGGAACCCGTCTCCGACCTGCCAGTGCAGCACCAGTGAGAAGCTCACCATGATGCCTATCTGTCCTGCTGGAGCCGGAGGTCTTCCTCCTCGCCACCGAATCGAGGCTTCGGGAGACACGATGCTCGATCTGACGGAGAGGAACATCTCGGACTACCTGGTGAAAACCTACCCCGGCCTCATCCGAGCTAGGTGAGTGGTCATTTAACCCATGGTGATGGAAAGAGGTGGAACTGAAAAAGAAATACAAGTGTGTTCAAACCTTCCAGGAGGGTTTAAGTCACACACTTTAAATGACTTGTAGCACACATGCTTGATTGTGTTCCCAATTTTATTTCACAGTTTGAAGAGCAAATACTGGGTGAATGAACAAAGGTAATAATTGTCTCCTTTTTTCTGGTTTTTCAGTCTTTTATTGTGCAGTAATTTGTGGAAACTAATTGGAAATATTCTCTCCCCTTAGATATGGAGGTCTGTCAGTAGGAGGACAGCTTCCCATCCTGGACGTCGACCCCCAAACTATCCGGAACGCTTTCCACCAGCTGGGACAAATGCTCAACATCACAGGGGTACTCGCTGTTTTCAAAACATCTGACAACGTGAGCTGTGTGTAAAGGCCTTCGAATCAGTTAATGAAGAGGCTTATCTTTCACAGGGTTACTATTCACGGCTCGCACTGAGGGAGATCGGTCCTTTCTTACGATTCATGGAGAGTGAATTCAATATTAAGGTATGTGTGGGAAGCATACAGGAGGAAACATTTCCATAAATAGCACCCTAGTTAGTGGCAGAAATGATGAGCAAACTGTCAGTGATGCTGGTTTAGTGCTTTTAAATTGCAAAAATTCAGAACAAATAACAGAGGTGATGATTGTGAGTGCTTGCTGTAATGGTTTTATTTTTGCACTAAAAGTAATGGTTTATTAAAAAACGAAGGTCAGCCAGCTTATGTTGTAGATCAGGATTTAAATAATAGAATCAGAAGGTTGTTGTATTTTAACGACGCTCTGCTCTGTCAGGTGTGGTATAACAACAAAGGCTGGCACGCCATGGTGGCTTTCATGAACGTGGCCAACAACGCCATCCTGCGGGCCTTCCTCCCCCACTCTGCAAAGCCCGTCGAGTTTGGCATCACCGCCATCAACCACCCTCTGAACCTCACCAAAGAGCAGCTCTCTGAAGTCACAGTGTGAGTGGAACTCAACACACAAACCTTTAATCACACACTGAGAGGATTGATTTATTAGTGAGCATTGAGTTTTCTGAAAGAGGAGTAGGAATCCCATGCTGAGAACACTGAAGCCCTGTGTACACAGACTACATTTTAAACTCACATGAGTCTCGTACATGTTTTATTATGCGGTGTCTGGGTGTAGTGCTGTTTTTTTTTTCTTTTATTATTGCTACTATCTAAATTTTGAAACGGCTGCTCTCACTCTGGCATTCAAACACCAGTTTGACAATTTTTAAAAAAGGAAACTTTTTGAGAAAGTTAAAGCTCCAGTGAAGAGTTTTTAGCTGGTTATGAAACAGACTGAACAATAACACAGATGTCTCTATATGAGCTACAAAAGCAAGCCAGAACATCAGAGCAGATTATTTTTTATATAGTTGTGTTATTGTATTCCTGTCACCCCTGCTGTGGGGTTGGTATCAGCTGCAAAAACAGCCTGCTTTTTAAAAATGTTACAAACCAAAGTTTGATTTGACCTTTAAAAACAAAGCAGGGTGAGATTTTCTGTCAGAAAACAAAATTTACACATTACCAGGACAAGATCAGCTGAGATAAGCACCACCCCTTTGACCACAAGGGGCGCCAAAATCGGGACAAACCCGAAAGTTCCTCCCAGAAGCTTTTACCATTATGTTAGCATTTTGAATGAATGCATTTTAGGTTGACTCATTATCTCACACCTTTTTATTCCCCTTTGAAGATAGTTGAATTTAGGATTTAATCATTTTCACAAGGATTCGTTTTTTCATGTAACTGCCCATCTCTTGTAGGTTACACAAACTGTAATGGCACATATATTCAGAAGACGTCACGGTCAAAGACCAGAAACTAAAGCTCTGACTCTATCTGCTTCTCCCTCCAGGTTGACCACTTCAGTAGACGCTGTGGTGGCGATCTGTGTCATTTTCGCCATGTCCTTCATCCCTGCCAGCTTTGTCCTCTACCTCATCCAGGAGCGTGTGACCAAGGCCAAACACCTGCAGTTTGTGAGCGGCGTCAGCCCTTTGGTGTACTGGGTGGCCAACTTCTTCTGGGACATGGTGAGTCAGAGGGATGGAGTCAACAACAATGGAGTTAAAATCGATCTAAGATATCCAGTTAGTGAATATAGACTCAATAAATTAACCCCTTTGCAGTAAACTAGTATCATGTATTTGGTTATTTTTCTACAATCATTGATAGCTCTCATGTTAATGTTTTTTTTTGCTCTAGATGAACTACACTCTCAGCACTGCAATGGTGGTTGGCATTTTCATGGCTTTTGACAAAAAATGTTACACATCACCATCCAACCTGCCCGCCCTCGTAACACTCCTTCTACTTTATGGGTAAGACTTTGCTTTTTTTGATATGGATGCATTTTGTTTTGCAGTTTATAACCTTACTTAACGATAAAATACAACTGGATTTTAAACCTTTGATTACAACACAAAGGAAATTAACTTCAGAAGAGAAAACAGGAACAAGACAATGACCATGAACCCTGAAATGTAATGATTTATTTTTCTTCTTCCCCTCCGGTCTTACAGGTGGTCAGTTACGCCCATGATGTATCCCATGTCTTACATTTTCAACATCCCCAGTACTGCGTATGTGTCACTCTCCTGCATCAACCTGTTCATAGGCATCAACAGCAGCGCCATCACCTTCATCCTGGAGCTTTTCGAAAACAATCGGGTGAGGACGCATAGATCGTACAGTAGATTGATGCAGGAGGAAAAACTCGCTCATAAACATACAACTAAGACGATTTATTCACCAATTTTTACATCAGGTCTTGTAAACACCTGAACAAGTTTGTATCACTTTGTATGATAAGGATCTATTCACACATAGCATTATCAGCAATCACTTAGATTTCTTTCTGATTGGCTGATAAATGAATGTCTAATACTGGCTCCTTTAAGCTTTACTGTGGTCTTGGCCAACTTCTGAAAGAAAAGAAATGACTCTGCAGCTGATTAAGGCACCGTTATGTTCGCTGGTCAGTTGCAAACATATGATGAACTAACTTTATGAGACCTGCTCAGCACCGTCAGGAAGAAGTGTTGCTGAGAAGTGTTGCTTGAGTTCAGATAGTTAGTAAAGTGAATAATGGGTAAAAACCTGCAGTATTCAAAACTTTAGACTTCTTTATTGCATTTTTTTCCACACGTTTGCAGGAGCTGTTTGTGTTTGGGTGCACTGCAGTTCAGGACATAGAATATAATAAACATGATGCTTTTCAGAGCAATACTGAGCATCAGAGATAAGTTACAGGATTCATCTGGTCAGGGTGATTGTTTATTTGTGTACAATGCACACTGTGATCTGCAGTATTATTTAACCCCTGCACTCCTAACCCTAAATGTGAATATGTGTGTACATGTGTGATACAGCCTTTGCTGATGTTCAATGAGTGGCTGAAGAAAGGCCTGCTGGTGCTCCCTCACTTTTGCCTGGGGCGAGGACTCATCGACATGGCCATGAACCAGGCTGTTACTGATGTCTATGCCAGATTTGGTAAGTAGGATTTACTCGTTGACCATTTAAGCTGATGAAGTTCCCTGAAGGTACCTCCATCATTTCATCTGGTTTATGTCTGTTGTTCGTTGCAGCTCTTCTCTGCAATAAAACCTAGCTCATAGGAATGTGGTATTCAGTTATAGCTGTTGTGGCTGTCTGGGAAATTAAGTTTGTAAAGCTAAAAAAAACACATTAACTTTGTCCTGAGTGAACAAAAGGCTCAAATTCAGAACAACCCTGTCTCTGATTTCAGGTGAAGAGTTCACACAGGACCCTTTCCGCTGGGACTTTGTGGGGAAGAATATCGCTTTCATGGCGGTGGAAGGCTTTGTGTACTTTATTCTCAATCTTCTGATCCAGTACCGCTTCTTCATTGACCACTGGTAAGAGACCAGTGTCATGACATTTCATTTAACCAGGAAGATTCTTTCACAGAGGGTCAAAACTAAAACACCTCAACCGATAGATATGGGGAAGCTGTTTTGGATACGGTCTTTTCATTTTTTAATTTTTTTTATGTGTGAATCCTTCAGGTTATCAGAGAGCAAACACAGTCAGAAACAAGATGAGGACGTAGACGTGGCAGCAGAGAGGAGGAGGATTAATGAAGGAGGGAGCAACACAGACATCCTGCAGATCAGAGACCTCTCTAAGGTATTTGATATACTTCAGACTGTCATTAGCATATTAGATGTACAAGAGCGATACGTTTAGCCCTCACTTGTATTTCTCCTGTCATCCTTAAACGATGATTTAGATGAAAGACAAAAACAAAAAAACAAAAAAAAGTATATAACTAAAAAATAAATAAAAATGGAGTCCCAAGTCCTTTTAATGTTATTAGCAGACAGTTACCAGCTCCATGTCTTCATCGGGTAAATATTTGGATGACAAAAGCTACACAACAACACTGCTAAAATAACTTACAGATTCAGTTAGAGCAAACAGACATTTAGGGATCAAGACCAAGACCATAAATATCAATGAAAAATCATCATCTGTGTGCAAGGGGGCGTGTCACTCAATTAGACCCCTCTTGAGACCTATTTCCAGTAATACAACACTACTTGCCTGAGTGAGACTTTTATGTCAAACATGTTGATATATAGAAGTCTAAAAATAATAAATAACAAAAGGAAGACACAATATGAAAGTTCAACCTAAACAACCACATCAGCTACCGTATTCAACACAAAACAAGCAGTATATGTTCCAGAAGGAGTAGGATGAAGTTTACATGTACCTTATCTTAACTCTTGTCTACTTTCTAGTTCATATTACCTACTGATAACACAAATGCCTCCCCTGTGTAAAAAGCAGATCAAATAAGTTCATGAATCAATACATTTAACCAGCTGTAATAATCTCTCCTCTTACCGTCACCTGTTGAAAATATATTTGTACAATTTCTTAAATTGAATCAAGGTTTAAATCGATCCACCCTCACAGATTGTTATACTCTCAGTCTTCATTATTGTTTGAACACAGAGTTTGGATAAACATCAATCGGGGGCGGCAGTAGCTCAGTCTGTAGGCCCATTGGTTGGGAACCAGAGGGTCACTGTCCCGGTGGGGAACAAAGTATGGTGGCTGGAGAGGTGCCAGGTCACTCTGAACCCAACAGCTCTGGCTTGCTCCCTGTCTAGCAGTGTGTAGACTGTGCATTTGTTTGATTCGGCCTGTGTGTGTGAGAAGCCTGTCTCTCAATAGCAGAGTGTAAACCAGAATTTCCCCTCTGGATTAATAAAATATTTACATAAAAAAAGAAAGACTATAAGCCGACAATGTGTGAAAATAAAAACATACTATCATTCAGAACAAGGACATGCTGATGATAACATAATAACGGGTGTGGTGTATTTTATTGTATGATTTTGTATCTCTGAATTTCTGGTATTTGTTGTTAGAGTGCTGCACACACACACAGCCTGCCTTTATAGTTTGCCTCCTCTCTCTGCACAGACGTATGTGGGCAGGAAGAGGGCAGCTGTGGACCAGATTTGTGTTGGTGTTCCTGCAGGAGAGGTAAAGTCGCTGAGTTTGTTTACACTGACAGCTCCCTCTGTGTTTTTTATATTCATATAAATCAAGATTTCTCTCTCTCTCTCCCTCTCTCTGTGTTTACTAATGATACACACTGAAAGATCTGCCACATAGTGTGTGAGACACAGATGATAGGTAGTAGTAGTCGTTTACCATCAGCAGCTGTAATTATGAAGTTACTCTATATCTGGTCTCATGATGTTGAAATGTTCATATATTTTTTTATTAATTCATGAACAAGGACATTTCTTGTGACTTAATGAAGCCGGATAGAATATGTTCATTAGAGTCATTCTCTGTATTTCAGCTGAGCCTGTCCTCGTACCCAGACACTGATTGTCTTTTATCCTGTGTGTAGTGTTTTGGTCTCCTGGGAGTTAATGGAGCTGGAAAGACGACGACCTTCAAAATGCTGACTGGTGACACTGATGTCAGCTCTGGGGAGGCCACTGTGGCTGGATACAGGTACATAAAGATCAGTCAAAACTATCCCCCGGTCCATTGGATACAAGCCCTGCTCCGGGGCTGGATCAGATGGTATTTGTAAAATAAAAACTTTGCTCTCAGTCTTATCCAGACATGCAGTTCCAGATGGGAGAGGACCAGAAACAGTCCATTGAGTTAGAAAGTTTAATCACAGGAAGGTCAATCTGACATTCGTCTGTTTAATGACACTATCCGACTATGAAATCCACACATGAGGTTCTCTCAAATAGGAGAGCTTGATGTCAAAATGTTAAAATCTTTTATAGTTTCTTTTTGTTTTGAAGCTGCGTCAGAGTCATTATGTTGTTAAAGTTTTATCCGTTCACATCTTTGAAGAGTAATGCACTTATCTTAATAAATAAATAAACCCCTCTGAGTGCATTCAAACCATTGTTGGATACTAAACCTCTTTTACAACCCAGGTGATTCAAAGTCTTTGTTCAAAGACAAACTCAACATTTATCACATCTGTTCCAAGACGTTTTTGGCATTGAACCCCAGTAATAATACTGCAACATGAACTTGTGCCCCAACCTCACAGGCTAAAGCTTCAGCGTGGATGCATTTCAACCAAATATTTTATTTTCAAGGATTTTTTAAGGCTATATAAAAAAGAGATTCAAGTATTAAACCAAAGAAAATATGCTATGAATAAACATTCACTGAATAAAGATGTATTTCTGAGTTGCTGAAGTACATCTTACCCTTTCACTGCTCTGTGATTCTACATACTTAATAATGATTTTGAACCAATGAATTGAATCCTCTTTTAGAACAGTGTAGTTGAGATGACTGCGCCTCCTGTTAGCTCTTAAATAATGACTGTATCATTAACCCCACTGAGAATAGTTGAGTGTTTGTTTTTCTTGCTCTGTTATTTGCTCTACTGGCTCACATCAGTGATTGACACCTCATGTTGTTTTTGGTGTGTTTTTTATTTATTTATTTATTTTTGCAGCATCCTGTCAGAGATTCTGGACGTGCACCAGAACATGGGCTACTGCCCTCAGTTTGACGCCATTGATGAGCTCCTAACCGGCAGGGAGCATCTGTACCTGTATGCTCGTCTCAGAGGGGTACCAGAGTCTGAGATCCCCAGAGTGAGTGAGACTCCTGCTGCTTTAAAACATCTTTTCCTGCCTAAGGAGGTTTTTTATTCTGCAAGGGAAACCACTGTTAAGCACTGCACACAGAGCTTTGTATCTGTCGGTTATTTTTAGTTATGTCATGGCAATTGTCTCTTTCCTGCTGTTCACTGTGTGATCATGTTTGTTTTATCTTTTTAATTGTGTTGCAACATTGATGTGAAAAGTATAGTTTTCAGCAGGAGGCTTTTAAAAGACCTCCATTGTGTTAAACCAGTCCTTTACCTTTTCAAAACTTCCACAGTGGTTACATAGTAATCCTTTAATTTAATTTTCAGCTTCTGCCTTCAGAGCAATGGTACAGAGTTGCCTTTGAAAAGAAAACATTCATTAAAAAATAGTGTTTAGGTTCCCTAAAATATCTTATTCATTAAGGACACTTAAGCGTAAACCTGTTACCTCACACTGCACACAGCACTTTTAATTTTAATTGTGAACATCCCTTCAATATTTATCATTAGGAACCTGGTGTGCAAGTCATATGTTAGTGAAAGACAAACTTCCTGCTGTTGAATGCAAAAAGTGGACAAATACTTGTCTCTTCTATTTCATTAAAGGTAATGGTTGTCTGCTTTAAAAATGAAAGCATATATATAAATTCGGTTTCTCCTGTAGGTGGCAGAGTGGGGCATCCAGAAGCTGGGTCTGACTGAATATGCGGGCCGCTGTGCGGTGACCTACAGCGGAGGCAACAGGCGCAAACTCTCCACAGCCATCGCCATGATTGGCTGCCCAGCTTTGGTGCTGCTGGTGAGCTAGCCAATGACGAGGAGCCCATTGTTTGGGGTTTTTTGGGCTTCATGTAGGGATTTATCAATGAAATGGTCTATGGATCCAGATGGGAAGCCATATGGGCCCAGTCAAGCCTGGCCTGCAATGTTTTATACATTGGCAGGCAGAGGCGCAGTTAGATTCAAATTGGCATGAATGTGAGATCTTTGCCATATGCTGATAGAGAAAAGGATTTGGTCTCGGTTCATATGGAATTATGCGCTCAGAGAGTCAAGTTTTGTTGTTTGTTTGGGGTTGTGTGTGTGTTCAGGACGAGCCCACGACGGGGATGGACCCTCACTCTCGACGCTTCCTGTGGAATGCCATCATGAGTGTGATTCAGGACGGCAGGGCGGTGGTGCTTACATCACACAGGTTTGACATCCAATGACATTACTCATTACTCCACTTCACACAGCAGCTGCCACAGCTGACCGAACAGTTAACTTTTCTGCCAATGGCTGTTGATGACATCAGGACTAGTTTTCACATTTAGATGAGGGAAATTATGATTGATTACTCGTACACATGAAACAGCAGCAGTAAAAATAAAGATGGATTATACTTGTTTTTTCACCAGTATGGAGGAGTGTGAGGCTCTCTGCACTCGACTGGCCATCATGGTCAACGGGACATTCAAGTGTCTGGGCACAATCCAACATCTCAAATACAAGTAAGAGACTTTTCTGCAGGTTTGTGTGGTCGTAATTGCAGAATTATTATTATATTATAATGTATGAGCATGTGCAATAAACACATTGCAATAAACTACCTGAATTGCGATTAATAACAAAAAGAAAAAGTCCTGGAAATATTCGTCATTCACTCACAATATTGAACCAATCAGATGAAGCTCCAGCTAGCTATGAACAAGTGGCAACCTCTGGTGGTGAAAAATTAAGCCAATGTGGAAGTGTCGTAAACTGCAGTTCCCTGAGTGTCCACTTGAGTCTGACTCCAAAAGCCAAGGACTCCCCATGAGGTCACCTATTGGAATGATCATTATTACAGACATAAATGTGTTTACAGCCTGTTTAAAAAAAACGAACAGTTTTGGTCTCTATAACTTATCTTTTAGAACTCATTTGTTTTGATTGTTTGAAAGCTAAGAGTTTGACATACATGTGGGTGTGGTTCCAGCTCTTTGCTTGTTACAAGATTGTCTAAAAGTTAGTTGGAAATAGTATTTCCAATATGGTGATCGCCAACATTTGGCTTCAAAATGCCTCTTCAAAAACCAGTGGTCAACATCACTGACAGTACGTCCATGCGTTATACAGTAGATGACAGTGAGCTATCTTTAGATTAGTTTGTGTGCACTTTGCTATGGTGATGTTTGACAGCATGATTGCTGAGGAAAGAGAGAACAGTGAAGAGGAGATGGACGATAAAGACCCTTTAGTGAAAGAAAACAACTCTTCTGTAATTTGGAATTACGATAGATTCAGAAGATATAAAGAATTAAGAACAGTTTTAAAGGATCCAAAAACTTTAAAAGCACATTTCAATGTTTCATCGGATGTCATTTCATCATCGCTACTGAAGAGTGTAATGGCATATCCAAGGTTTAAAAAAAATGTGTATGCTTATTTCTGAACCTTTACAATATGATAAATCAAGGTTCTTCAGCATCACTGTACAGTAAATGTAAGCATCTACATTTATATTTCAAAAAGAGTTCAACCCTTTAATGACATTTTTCCTTCATCCAGATTTGGTGACGGCTATGTAGTGACCATGAAAATCAAGGCAGCTAAAGCGGGCTCGTCCCCAGACCTGCAGCCTGTAGAGAACTTCATGGAGAGCAGCTTCCCTGGCTGCATTCAGAGGGAGAAGCACTACAACACGCTGCAGTACGAAATCGCCACCACCTCTCTAGCCAGGGTATTTCAGCTAGTGGTGGCCAATAAAGAGAGACTCAGCATCGAAGACTACTCTGTTTCCCAGACAACACTGGACCAGGTAAAACACAAAACTGAACAGACAGAGCAGCTTGTCTTATGAATATGAAAGGGTTTGTCAATCATATTACTTGCTATACATTTAACTAACAATTGCTGCATGTAGAACTTAGAAAAAATAAAGAAATCTAATTTTACTTCAGGGTTTCTATAATAAATCATGTTGAAATTTGTTTAAAAATCTCTCAATTTAATCAACACATGCTTCCTACTAAACCACACATGAAGCATTTTGATTCACTATCAAAAAATGCAGAAATTAAATTTATACTCAAAGGTCCAATAGGCAAGGCAAGTTTATTTATATATCACCTTTCAGACACCAGGGAATTCAAAGTGCTTTATGCAATATGTAATATATCTACTGAATATATTGATAATGTGACCTTACTATATAATCAGACATTAAGGAAACATGTTGAAGTGCTGGCTTCTCTCCCAACAATACAGCAGGTGAATGGTCTGAAATGGTTTTGACCAGAGAAGGTAGGTGATTTTAAGGCTCCCCACACAGATGTTTTAGGCGCCCCTCGGCTTGCCCGGAAAAATGGCAAACCAACAGGTGTTGCAGCAAACGAAGCGGGGCAAGCCAACTGGTTCAGATATAACTGATTCTACCCGACCTAAAAAGCCTCTGCATTTTTCTAATAAACTCCATGACCAGAAAACTGGGATAAATATTGGAGATAAAGAGATAAAGGGGATAAAGTGACGCTTCAGTGTCACATTGGCTCAAGGGAGGAGGGGGCAGGGGGAAATAGCTCTCTTCAATGTTTTGAATTTGGAATGCAGTACCCATTTTAAACACTAAGGTGTCAGGGTTACATATTGGTCCTTTAAACAAGTGCTTCACAAACATAAATGTTTATATTTACATCTTTTTTTTTTACATCTCTCAAGTTTGAACTTAAAGAAATAAGATAGAAATCCAATGTGTTTAACATTTGATTTCTATCTTATTTCTTTAAGTTCAAACTTTTAACGTTCATACTGTAACTGATATCTTGACTTGACCTTGAAATCACCATGCATCATGGGTCTTGTGTACCTGTTTGTGCTCACCACGTTAATGTTGTACTGATTCAGGGTGTCTGTTGTGCAGGTGTTTGTCAACTTTGCCAAGCAACAGACAGGAGAGGATGAAGACGTTACGTTACAACGACGAACAGCGTGCGGAAGAAAAGACGTAAAGATCTCACCTGTGCAGAGAAAAACATAAAAAATGTCTCCTGTACACAATCACAGAAGTAGAGGTGGTACTCTGCTGGGAGATAATATAACATTCCTATTTATACAATGTAAATAGCCAAATTGCTTTGTTAGAGATTATGTTAATGGAAAAGCCTTGCCAGTGATCAGCAAAAAGTCAATAGTAGTGCAATTCCTTTTCCCATTCACAGAACAATGTTATACCCTATGACTGAAAACATCTGATCCATATTTGATCATGCAACACCATGCATGCATGTCTGACACAATACTTTGACTTAACAACTGAAACTGATGCAAAACATGCTGGTTCTAAATCTGAGCAAATGAAAAAGAAAGATCTTTTTTTTTTAAATTGTTTTACTGGCCTGTATACATTTGTACATACTGTATGTGTAATGAATGCTTAAAGGGTTGGTTCAAATTTTTTTTTAAGTTGGGTTGTATGCAGCAGTTTTCAACGGTCTGTGTATTTCCTACAGTAGATGGTCGTTGTTTTTTTCTCTGAGTTTGAAGAAACCAGGGCTGGTTACATTCAGACAAAAAAACGTGCTGATGTATACAGCAGGGGGGAAAAAAGCTGTGTTTATAGGAAGTGGGCGTGGCCACTGTTATGACACCTGGTACTGTCTGGACTACCATTTGAGGCTGCTGGTTTGCCATCTAGTTTATTGAGCTTGGTTTGCAATGTGCTTTTATAATTCTTGGTAAATGTGACATACACTTGGATGATTATTCTGACATTCTACAAAGAAATGAACAGACATCTCTGTAGAGTTTCATTTAGAACAATGAATGGCTCAATAAGGCCACCAAGGTGTTGCCTTGTCAACCGTAAACCTAAAGCCACAACCTAAAGCATCTCTTGCTCCGATCTATTTTACTCTAAAAAGGACGAATACTTATAAAAATATGAATTAATTGGAAACTCTGGCACTGTAGCCACTCCACAAATGGAGGTCGCTGCTATCAGAGAAGGACCTTAGACATTAAAAAAATATAATTCAGTGCACTCCTTCTTTCAGACGTGATCCAAAGAAAGTACTGGAGCGCACAAACCACTTAAGGCAAATTTAATTTAGGTTCAAAGGACTAACGTTTCGATGCACTGTGTCTTCCTCAGAGTCAAACAGTACAGTTACAGATAAACACACTTCTACTCACAACAAATCATCTCTCAGTGGTTAATGGAAAAGGAAGGAAAGAAGTGATTTAGACCAGTAGGTTGTTAGGGAAAAAGTTTGATGATGTTTGATGTTTGAAATAAAAGGAAGTAAGAAGTATTTTCTGATAAACGTCATTAAAAAATTATCTTTTTTTTTACCAGTGGGTTCGCGCCCTGCTTGCCATTAGAAACAAATGGCGACTTTGCTTTGGCCTCAGTTTCAGACCTGAAGGTTGATCTATTTCTTCTTCACAGTGCTTGAAAAAAGAAAAACACATTTTAGACATCTAAAAAACACCCACCTTAACACCTACAGTCCTTTTTCCTGTGAACTTGCATATTTCCAAAGCTTCATCTTACCATCAGACAACATTTGATTTTCTGAAACTCATCTTCTCAGAACTGGTCGTGTGCCAATTGTCATCTACTGTAGCTGATACACTGACAGTAATTATTGTATATATATTAATAATGTATAAATCCCTTACAACCTCACTCCGGCACTAACCCTTTAAGTACATTAGAATATATTATTATTTTTTAAGTTTACAGTAACACACACACCTCAATTTTTTTTGTGGCAAATGTAAACAAATGTCATTTAATGTTGGATGTTTATTTCTACACCATATTTACTGTAATGCTTCCATTATCCACAGACATATGCAGTTGTACATTAAGGTATTTCTTACTCCATTATCAGTACAAAAAATAGCAGAGGATATTGCTCCTGAAGGATTGTGGAGGGAAAAGGTATATACTATCACTGTAGATAAAGAGGAATTATATTTTGTATGACCCAATGAAACTATTTAACATGCTTTATACTTCATGCTCCGCACAGTGTTGACTAGCTGAGTTGTACTACATCATCACTCTCAAATAAAACAGTACCAAGTTTCATAATCTACATGTGGAGTGCAGTGTTACATTTCTCAAGTATTTCAGCCCTCCTTTTGCCTTCTTAAAACTACTGTGTGTGTTTTTGTTTTAGTTAGAAGATTTGACAGGCGACCTTCAGTCACTCCACTGACCTCCACTGAAAAGCTTACAAAGCTATTGCAGGTCACTGGAGTGACAGAGAGATAGCTTTGTATCGGGGACGAGGCGACAGTGCACTGAGAAGCTTGTCAGAACCAGGATTTATCTCACACATAGTCCAATTACTGTTCTCCTGCCGCGAGTGGTGGAGTCATTGCCTGAGGCCGCCCACTAGCCTGAATTCCATTGGCTACCTCTTAAGAGGCAGAGAAGTGATGGGGCCATGCAGTTCTAGGCTGCTAATGAATTCTCTGGTGTGGACCTCATGCTCCTCTCCTGCTCGTACGGTCATCCGGATGAAGCTGATGAGCAGAATGGAGCTGCTGTGGGAGAGCGTACAAGTCATACAGTAACAGACCGTGAAAGGAGACTGTGTTTGGCTGAATTCCGTATAAAATTAGGACGTACTTTAAATAAAATCTCTGCTATGATATCAAAACCAATTTACTCAGAAGGATGTTAATGGATTGAAATGAATATTAACAACATTCTGGTTTGATTTGCGGTTCAAACACAAAATATTAACACATATTTGTCATTTTGCATTACATCTTGACCTAACCTCACTAGAATACATGTAAGTAATATTTGCTGAACATTGTGTGTGGTCCCACATTTTTGATTTAAATCGTTTGAGATTCTAAAACTCTCTTAGTGTGTGTCTCAGGCTTTAGTTAGCAGACGCAGCGTGACATCAGTTAATGGCTCTTCTAGCTGATCCCTACTGGGCAGACTCTGGTTGCAAATTCACAATATGCTAGACCCTAACTCGGGTAATATGTCTCTGTCTGGTTCAGAGGAGGGAGGGCGAGGGATGCTGTCCACTAGTGTCAGAGTTCACAGTCTACGGTGGCAACACAGAAATACAGATCTTGTTAAAGAGAGACTGCAAGCATTGAATTAATTCAGTTTAATAGAATAAGTAATGTGTTTGCATGTTCTCCCTGTGCATTTGTCCAAAGTCCAAAGACAAAGCTCATTAGGTCAATTGCATCTAAACTCTCTAAAATTTCTTATAGGTATGGTAGGTATTGTGAGTGTGGCTGGTTGTCTGTCAGCCCTGTAATTGACAGGCGACCAGTCCAGGTTCAGTGACATGCATATCAATGACTTACAAGGCATTATTAAAACTTTTCCTTTTATATTGATTTCTTTTCCTTACCAGTCAAAAAAAAAAAAATCATTAGCCCCTGCTATTAACAGTTCAGCTGCTGAAGTTCTCTCAATCACAATTCCCTGGCCCTGCTGAACCTAAACACTCCAGGTACAGTATATGGGTTTGTATTAACATTTTCTACACTCAGGGTAAAGGGTGTTTTTTTAATTCGATAAGAGAGGCCTTCTCTTACTGACAGGAGATTTACAGTGTGATTGACACGTTGGGGATAAGGTCAATCATGAGGTCATCCAATACATCAGTGAGCAGCTGTCTCATTAAACTGCTGCCTGTGTTTGTACCACAGCTGGCTGGACTGGAACAGCTTTAAAGTTGACTTCAGACTCCTTGACTCCTACGGTATTTATATGAAAGCTCTCCATCACCTCTATCAGCTTAATGCCCGGAAAGTTAATTTAACTGATTTAATGAAATGTGAATTTGATTGTATTTAGTAAGTCTTAATCGCACAAACATTTCAACAGCTACAAAAGGAAAGTGAATCAAATGTGACCTTTGTATATTAAATATAATAGTAATTAATTTACTGCAGCAGCTTTAATAATTGAGGCTTTAATTAAAATTTGAAGCTGCAAAAGTCACATTAATAAAAACCAAAATAGTTATATACTGTATACTATATACTGCCACACCTCAATTTATATTTTGTCAAAAATATGAAACATGAATGTTTTCCGTAATAGAAATATAATCCTTTTGTGCTGGAATGATATGAATGAGATTGTGAAACACAGTTTTCAGATGAAAGATTTCATGGTCAGGCTCACCTGCTGCTGTGCTCAGCAGGTGATGGATGCTGCAGAAAATCCCCAGTGATATAACTGCTCGGAGAAGAAGAATAAGAAAGGTTTTTCTCCGTTATTGCTGTGATAACATCAGGGCTCTCTGTCCGCATGTTGGTTTCATAATCCAATTGGCAGAATGTTTTTTCCGCTGATTTGTTGTTGTTGTTGTTGTTGTGCAGGTTCCATATGGTAACCCTTCCTCGGTCGTAGAAATCAAATCTAAACATGATGTACATTTTTTTTTAAGACTAAAACATCATGAAGATATCGTAAACCCCTGAATAAGATGTTTCTTTCAACTTCAGAACTTGCCTAAGATACATAAGTTTAAGTTTATTATAACAAAACAACTTCCTTACAACTTCCTCGTGTTTCCCTTTTACCTGTGTTTGTGCATTTTCCTAGTCTTGTCTTTAGTGTTTCCTGTTTTACTCTGTAAAACTTGTCCCCAGTGTGTCTTGCCTTGTCTCACTTCCTCCTTTTGTCTGGTTTCCCTCCATTCTGATTGCCCTGATTGTCATCATCTGTGTCGTTAGTCTCACCTGTGTCTGATTAGCTGTGTCTAGTGTTCACCTCTTCATTCCCAGAAAACGTCTTCCTACCCATGTTATGCTTCCTTGTGGTTTTTGGTTTCTGCACTTGGGTCCTCCTGTTCGTTTTTATCTCTTTGTGGATGCTAAAAGCATACCTCCTGTCTAACACCACCCCGACCAATCCTAAACAAAAAACATTTTCATCAAGTATACTGTGCTTCACTTATTGTGTTTCAATGTCTGCAGTAAATATTTATAACCTAAAATATTCAGTACCACAAAGCCGAAACCAAAAACAACACTTGGGGTGCTCAGTATTCTACAAGTGTAGCTTTATATTGAGTTATTAATCTGAACAGAAACATACTTGACTCTCTCACACTTCTCAATAATAAGATTTAAATGTGACTGACTGCTAACTTGTCAGGAACAGGGCCAGCTTCATTACCATTGCATCCTCAGTTCACACCTAGAATAATAATCTTAGGGTAAACACATCCAGGAATGTATTGCAATAAATGAAAAAAATGTTTTATGGAAACAAGCAAACATTTCTTACTCAACAAGCAAACATTTTAACAGTTGGGTGGAGACCTACTGTAGAAATCATTTGGATGCAGTCAGTGAAGCTTAAGCTATATCTGCTGTTAACTCATTACTCTACAAACCTTCTCTGTCATGTCCCCCCTTGGAGAAGGAAATATTTCTGTCAAATATTATCATCCAAAAGATTTGATATTCACAACCACATTTTTTTTTACTTTAAAATGTAACACAACAGAGTGGCAACATTTAAATTCTCTTGGCTTATTTCTTTGAGGACTCACAGAGAATATTTTTGTCCAAGGTCACAATTTAAAGGTCTAATGAAAGGGATATTCCACATTGAAATTCAAAGAAAACTACTAGCAGCCTGTTGCAAAACAACAAATAGTGGTGCTTTCATAAATCCCGCCTCTGATAAAGCAAATGGCCAATCATAGATTAGGGTGTTGGCTTGGTACTTGGACTGGCCAGTCAGATTGTGAGGACTGACCCACAGCTGCTCCTCAGTTCTATTACTGCTAGACCTGTCTGCTGCCTTTGACACAGTTAACTATCAAATCCTCCTATCAAAGCTCTCTGAACTTGGCATCTCAGGATCTGCCCTCTGGTGGTTCATGTCCTACCTCTCCGGGCGATCTTTTAGAGTGTCTTGGAAGGGAGAAGTGTCTAAAGGGTACAGTTTATCCACAGGGGTGCCCCAAGGGTCAGTGCTTGGTCCCCTTCTCTTCATCATATACACAAGCTCACTTGGTTCAATAATCCACTCTCATGGCTTCTCATACCACTGCTATGCTGACGATACCCAGCTCTTCCTGTCATTCCTGCCAGACGATGTTACAGTCTCAGCAAGAATCTAGTCATGAATATAAATGGATGAATGAACGCCACCTTCAACTCAACCTTTCAAAGACTTAGCTCCTTGTCATCCTAGCCAGTCCCTCTATCCAAGCACAGATCAATATCCAGCTCAGTACAACCATACTCATAGTAACAAAGCAACTTCTTTGGGCACACAAAGTACAAAGTGGGAATGCATGAGTTATGATACAGTGAATACCATGTGATTTCTAGTTATGATGAGATTCGATCTTGAAATTGTTAGTATTTATTTGGGGTTAGAATGGAAACTGAAATGATAATAGATGTTCTGTTATCGTCAATTAATCTGAACAAAAAATTTCATGCAGGGAATAAGTTAGAATCTTTTATTTTATTGCTTTGTTGTAAATTGTACGTTTTTTGGCAAACTTATTCCAGATGTTAATGCTATTGTGAGAGTGATTCGAGAGTTTCTTCAAGGGGAAATTTGTTTGACTCTTCTTGGGTCCTTGCCTTTATAACTTTTTTAAGTCCTTTTTTTAAGCTTGTGAGCCAGTGCACGGATAGTCTGGGTCAGAAGTTTAATTGGGGGCATGTTGAAGGATGGAGTCAAGAAAGGTTAGCTTATGTATCTGCAGAGAGCAGGAGGAAAAATAAACGTTGAGATGAGAGGGAGACAGAGTTGCTGTCAAAGTATGAGTCAAAATGAGGGAAGTTGTGGATTAGGGTTTCTGTCAGTTGTTATCCATTGTGTGTTTTGAGAAAGAGAGGGAGACGGACAAAAGGAAATAGACATTTACATGTAAGAGGAAAAATATGTAATCACTGTGCTTTCAGACAGATTGTCAGTTAGAGGACTGTAGCTTCATCTGAAGTGGTCCAGTATACAATAGTCTACAGCACAATATGACAGTTGAAGTGCAAATCATGAAAAGAACAAAGAGAAGTATTCAAGCCAGTGAGCACCTTTGTAACCTTGAAATC